AAACTCAGAAGACCCAGAATTGCTTAAAAAGTTTCTCACCACACCCAAATAACAAAAATTCAAAAAGACTGAAACTTTCTTTGCTTTACTTCACGCCATTTTTACAGTACGGATCTAGGAGGGGGAGAAGGAAACGGAGAAGGTACATTACCTCTTGGGTGTAAACCATGACGTGGTGGGAATCATGGTGGAGATTTTGGACATGGATGGCTCCATAGAGTGAGAAGCCATATGCTGAGGGGAAGGCGTTGACTTTACTCGTGAGTTTTCATGTTGTGCCATCTCAGTATAATACTTTTAAGACTAAATACCCTTTTTATGGTGGGAAGGCGTTGACTTTACTCGTGAGTTTTCGTGGTGGGTGGGAATTAGTTCACGTGTGAGGTGAGTATTTGGTGGAAAGACTTAAGTTCGATTTCCACCAATGTTATTTTGAGCATAAGATCTGTACGAATCTCTACGGTAACCTCAGAATTAACATTTAGTGCGTTTGAGGAAGAGTTATTAATTGCAATTTGTGTGCTAGACTTTTAATTAATTTACCGTATGGATTAGATTGGCAAGGCCTATGACTTAGCCTATATTAAGTCATTATTGGCCTATTAATATAAATAGTTAGATAGAACAAGTTTAAGTTTTTAAAAAAATCTATTTAAAAAATAAATCATAGATTTTTTCATACATGTCGAATTTATAAGCTTACAGGTCAACCTATATTTTATTATTTATTATAAATAAAATTATTATTTGAATACTTTTGAATAATAAAATAATATTATTTTAATTTTTTTTAATAATTAAATGTCTAATAGCTTAAACAAGCTAACAGGCTTAGGCCAAGACTTTTATTTTTAAAATATAAGTCACGTCAGGGTTGTAATTTTGGCCTACACAAGGCTAACATGTTAGGCCAAGCATAAGTGTTTTAATACAGATCTAACTTATTTAAGTCAAAATCTAACACAACCTAATCTATTTACACCCTACATATAGATATCAAATGTATTCCTATAAAACAAAATAAAGAATTGTCATTTGTGATATTTAATATTTAATATTTAAGAGGATATGGTTTCGATATATGTCAATACATTCTTACAGAAATATCAATTAGATGTGTTATTTTTAAATAAGTTTAAAGATGTTTATTTATTAACATTTTAATACTTTAAAGAATACCCAAAATTAAACACCGTCATATACAGAATGATTATCAGTATAAAATGGAAAGAGAACAAGCAGTATCAAGCAGCAAACACGACATAAGCAACAATTTCATGAGCCTTGTGACTTCACAATCATCAAAGGCGGGGGGCTAGCGTGGCCCACGCCCCCCTCTAAATTTGGATTTTTTTTTAATATATGTAAAAAATGTGATGATAAAATTATCGCGTTGTACACATTTTTTCTTTCAGTTCTCCATGCTTCTGCCCACACTTTTAGGGTGTGTTTGGTATAAGTTTTATTTTGGATTTGATGGGGAAGTGTAGGTGGATATTGTAAAATATCACGTTTGGTTCAAGTTTTTGAAAAAAATACTAGGCAAATAGGAAGTCTAGGAAATGACTTTGATATTGATTTTTAGGTGAAATTCACCATTACAAAATAACACTTGAGATGTGGTATTTTGAGATAACTGGGGAAGTGAAAAAATAGATGCGAAGTTCCTCTCGAATATAGATTAGATTTTGTAAATTTAAATAAATTTTCCCAGTAATATTTCGGTCAACCAAACATCTTTTTATAAAATTTTTCCATCAAACTAACTTTCCTATCATTTTTTCATAATTATATTTTCCTAGTAAAAAAAATTTTCTTCTCTACCAAACGCCTCCTTACTCATATTTTTCTTGAGAACATCATATCATCCTCTCTCTCCTTTCCTTGTTCTGTTCATCACCAACCTCTTTCTTCAGCCTTTCGATTTTGACGGTGTAAATTCTAGAGCCAAGCAGAATCAACTTCCACCTTTCTAAGTCATAGACTATCTTTAATTACATACATTGAAAAAGAAATTATTTTGATTTTAGCACGGATTCAATTATATATGAGTTTAATAATATGAAAACACGTACAGCAAGAGTAAGTGAAGTGATATTAATTTCTGTAATAGATTTTTTTTTAATTTTTTGTATATTAAATTTGTATTGTATTTCAAGTACTTTTATTTATGATATAGTATTTTTTATTTTCGTTCCCTCGTATTAAAATTCCTGCGTGGGTCCGTCAATGAGCACGATAGTGTCAGGATTCAGGAAAGTCTTTCTGCAAGCGTCAATTTTGCAACGAAATCTTTCTTGACAATTTCATCTCTGAGAGTGTCTGCAATATTAGAAAAAGAAAGAGAATAAGTCTTATGACGTGTGAGCTTCGTAATCTATGAAATATTATAAGCTCCCTTAGCCAATCTTAAAGAACTAGCATTACAAATTGCTAATTTCAAGAAACATAACAAGCTCAGATGAGTGCGGAGAACTTACGCGCCGAGACTTCAAAAACTGTGATATATTGTGTCTGACATTCTCCGACACTCCAACACTCATTGTAGAAACTCAAAAAAAGGTTTAAAGATTATGTTGCGTTGCATTTTTAGTTATAACTATTAGATTCATTAGATTACTATTATCATTCAATTTAATTTAATATAAATATTTGTGATATCTTATATTTCTTTACAAAATTAATGAGTATTATAAGTTTAACTTTATTTTTTTGTTAAATTATTGAATATTAAATATAATATACGCAACATAAATTAAGAATATTATTTAATATCAAGATGTGTAATATTTTTTAAAATTAACGTGTCGGAGTGTTGTGTCATTTCGTATTCTGTGTCTCGTGTCTATATCGATGCTGCACGTAGTGGAGAACTATATAAATATACTTGTTTTTCATTGAATAACATCACTCTGGTTTAGTATTCACACGGACTAGATCAACCATGACGTGATGAAGCACCGCTAACAAAGTCCCACATCATCGATAAAAGGAAGCGGCTGCTATTGCTACAATATAAATACATATTCTTATCCCCTTGTATGATCACGGAGCCATGTGGTGAGTACAAAGCGAACTATTCTTTCGCCTTTTACTAAAGAATACCGTGTGCTCGCCACTACAAGTGGCATACGCTAGTTTTTGAAAGGTGACTCTCCTTTGGAAGGTCCCTGCAAACCTTGAGTTTAAGTCTTGTCCTCTTGAATGATAGATTTTACCGAGTGTAATAACTCTTGTAGTTTGTTTAACTGCTGTTATAGCTTGAACCTGCTTTGGAAATCGGAAATAAGAATGTTTCTATTGACTCATTTTGGAACTGGCTGCTGAGCCCCTTTTTAAACTGCAGAAGATGGATTCTGCTTTGAGAAAGAGTGTTTTGTTTTATCGGATTCTCTCGGGAATATTATTTAGTGTATTTTTCGCACCGTAAAGAAAATCCTTATATAATAGTCATTAAAGTAACCAAAAATGTTTTAGTATGAACAACATTACCAGTGATGAGATTGATTAATAATTTCATATTTAAGTATTTGAAAGTTGTTTTATTATGGTCGTGTGTATTCATTTTTCGTGGTCAATTGATCAATTAATTATCTTTGTAGTAGTTCCTAGAAAATATCCAAATAAGGTTTCAATGATTTGCATCATGATTGAAATCAGGTAAGTGATGCTTTTCATAAAACGAACTATACGATTAAAATATTCAACGTTTTTTTTCAAATTTCCACAGGCCATATATAAATGAAGCGATAAATAAGAATTATGTTGTAGGAAAAATAATTTGGTTATGGTAAGATAAAACAAAATAAAATCATTGAACAAAGTGTCTTATCATATTTTTTTATTATTTTTTTTTTGTCTTTTAGTGTTGCATGACTTCATGTAACATGATAAGTTAAAGACCCATAAATGAATAGGGTTTACTGGTTTAGTTTTAAGGCACAAAAGGAAGGATATTAGCTGCAAGTAATTTTATCCTATAAATATAATTAAAAAAGAAACATAAACTAATCAGTTCATACGAGAATAATCATTGTTATAAGTATTTCATAAACATGGATGTTTTTCTTTCTATTTGCTTATTGGGCTATTTCATTTATCAGTTGCATGTCTCTTATTTTTTATTATTAGGCCAAGTGAAGAGGCTGAAGCCTATTATCAGCAACACAATCAAAACGCTCTCGTTTTGCATTGTGAAGGCTAGTGATTTTTAACCCTTCAGCTGAGCTCATATCAGATGACACGTGCGATATTTGTTTTAGGCTATCATCTTAAGAACTCTCTCGAAAATCTGTTCGTTAGGATTTGTGAGTGTGTATATCTTTCTGTAAATAGTGAGTGATACACTGAGAATTAGTCTATGGTGCTTTGGAGAATCTTGTTCAGCTCAACAAGACAGTTCTATTGATCGGTGTACTTTTCATATTAGTGCTCAAAGAGTTAGAAGTTCAATCTCGTGAGGAAGATCACTGAAGCTGCTCTTGATGAGCTTGTAGATCTTGTGTAAGGAACAACGATTCCTTTGCTGGTTCAGGAAGATTGGGAAGTCCTCTATTTTTGCTTTACTGATTCTTGATCTTGATGATTTGTTTCAAGATTGTGTTTCTTGTTGATCTGTTTATTCGTTATAGTTTCTTCATATGCTTTAAATTCTTGTATATCTAAAATTGTATACTGTAAACTCTGCATCTGAATCTTGACTTGAATAAAGAGTAATATCAGAGGGCGTTTAACCCTCTTTAGGCCCCAGGACGTAGGAAACTCACTGATATTGAGTTTCTGAACCTGTAAAATACTTGTCTCCTCTCTTTATGTATTCTTTAATTTTTCTTATTCTGTTTTGCATGTTATTGTTTACGAAAAGTATTGCCAAAATTACAACAGTCATGTACAAGGATAGTGCAAGCAATTTTCTTCTAAAAATAAAATTACAAGGAACGATTTCCACAAGATGGTAAAACAATGCTGAATTATACTATTGTTAATTCCATTAACCAAAAGCAAATAGATACTTATACAAATAATAAATGTTAAAAAAAAACTATTTACACTATAGTGGCTATCCTTGGGCGAAATAATTTGTCATGCATTAAAAAAAGAAAAAACTACTCTTATATTGTTGGAAAATAACTTTCTTTCCAACACCTATTGATTTCCATGTAGCTCAATTTTTTTTTATAAGTGAGTCCACCCATAATTGTGTCTATGGTAGGAAATAACTACTCTCCTATAACATGAGATTAATAAAACACTTAAAAAAAAAAACATGAAAAAGAATATCAACATTCTTGGGATTGAGCAGGAGATGCTGATGTCTCTCCAGTCATCTCTTGAAGCAACGGCATAGTGTCTGAACTTTCGACGGTTGATACTTGATGCTCATTGTCTTCATTAAATCTATCCACACTACGCAAAAATATTCCTGCCACAATATACAAGAATCACAACACACGCTGTTTAAAATTCTTTTGAAACTTTTCCATGTATAAGACATTTATGATTTGATAATAATTATAGAAATTTAAATACTACACATTGAAGATAAGCTAATTTTCATGTGGTCAAGTAACATTCACCATAGGTACAACGAAAGGTTGTAACATATTTTAGGTTGGGATTGGATATGATTTCCAGAGTGACCATTTTATTCATGTCCAGCAATGCCATTTTTTAATCTTAAATATCCTTGATCTTACAATAATGATATGTCAAAAGAATTACTAACTGGAATTCTTCTTTGTAGTAAATCAACAAGAAATTTCAGTGAAGACTAACCGATAAACCATATTCCAGCTGCAGGAAACAATATGGCTGTTAGAATCAAAGCAGTAGTTCTCCAGTTGTTAATATTATCCTGCATTACCATATGTATGAACAACCATCAGAATCTTTTACATCACAATATATATTCTATGAACTATCATTTTCTCTTCCTCAACCTCCCTCCCTCTATTTGTTTGGCAAGTAATGGACATTGTTAGAATATCTAGTGGATATTTCAGAATATCATGATTATATCTTAGAACAGTTTAGAATATCATATATGATCTCTTAGGATTGGTTTCCACATTTCCTTACATATCGTGATTTGTTTCCTTATTTAATTAGGATTAAAAGTCTACAATCAATATAAATAAGAGGTACAGCTTTGTCTTTTGTCCCTAAATATTCTATCAAACCATCCTAGCCCCAAGGGCCAAAATCAAAATAGATTTGACTTTTCAGTAAATGTGTCATTTCTTATCATAAGCATTTAGCTTAGAAACGAGTTTTTGTTGCTTTCTATCACAAGCCGATTATATGCACCTGATTTTGAATTATGTACTTATTAGTCTTAGTTTTATCTTCAACTTTTCTAGACCAAATTCGGCGATCATTATGTGGACAACTAACAATTTCCACCTTAAGAGTAAGAAATACAAAAAGTGTTTGGCATTGCTGCACGTCTGTAAGTTACTAAATTCGTTAGCAAAACAATAATTCCCCTTACGGTATGTTAGTCAACCAAAAAAAAAAACACTAGAAAAGGTCGCTTACCAAAAAGGGAGAAAAACTATTAAAGGCTGACCTGAAGAACACCAACAAGAGGTGAGGAAGGTACATCTCCAAAGACATGAATAGCAACAGTAGACAAAGCCATAGATAGTGGCCTCAAACTTGGTTTGACACAACGAAGACATACGTAATTCACAGGACCCTGAAAAAATTTCAAGAGTTTAGCAAAAATTCTGACTTCCGATCAGGTTTAGAAAATGGTTTCTAAGGAGCAATAATTTAGAAGTTGAATTGTAGGGATCACTTACCATCTAAGCTCATATATAAAATTACAGACTTCAGGAATTTTCTAAGCTAGGCATGATATACAAACTCAGGAATGTGTACAGAGGAAAACTCAATAGTTGCTAAAATATTAAAGATGATAAGCATGTAAAAAGGAGAGTGCCTTAATATAACGGCCAACACGAAGAGATCTTCCTCGCATAGAAGGAAAGTACCTGAGTGGCAAAAACAAGAAGTTCACCAATAGAGAAAAGAGCAAGGAAGCCATACATGCTTCTGAATAAGAAGGCGCCAAAACAAAATGCTGCACCAATAAATGTTGTCACTGACAGAAGCTGCAAAAGAATTTAGAGTGTTCAGTAGGACATAGCAATCGAATGTAAATAACATGCTACTTAAGTTTGACTATATATGTAGAGATCACAAAATTAGTCAACAAGTATGGTTTACCAGTTCCATTTACTATCCCATTACAGCAATTCAATCAATGCACGGCTACACTTAGTTTAAGTGAGTCTGTTCAATATTATGAGGCCAATCCAGAATCCTAGTTGTAAAAACACTTTTAACCTCACATACCGGATAATAATTGCAAAACTGTAACAATGACGCTCAAACATGTTACACAAGCCTCATCTATATGTATTCTCTCAACCCTATTTATAATTCCAATGACCTAACTAACTAATTCTATAGAGATTTCCCTAATTACCCCCATTAGCCCTAACAAACAGAAGCTGACCCATATGGTTTTTGGGGATCAACCATTATTTCTTCTAACCTACTTTCCTAAATAGGGGGTTCCTAACATATATGAGGCACAAGTCCTGCCCAACAAAATCCAGTGCACATCATGTTCATAGAAGATTACAGATTATAGTAAGGAACACTAAAGTAGATGTTTCTGAGATCAACAGGCGAACCCGCAGGGTAAAGGTAAAGGTAAACGGGCAATGTTTTAGCTCAACAGATAAAAATAGCGCCCTGGGCAGCTAATAAACAGATATAAAAGTAATGCCAGAACCCTTCTCTAAATTTGAATACCAACCTTAAATGCATTTGATAAGGTGTTAGTCATAAAATCTAGAACGAAGCCTCCAGCCAATGTGCCCACTATTCCACAAAAAATTGTAATTCCTCCAAATATCAAATCTGCATCAGTCTACCAAAGTAAACCAACTTTAATATTACAGGAATAATAACGTACTATGTTTTACCTGGAAAGTATCTTCACTTATCAGGGATGTTTCATTTTATGCAAGAAACAAAATATATAAGAAAGGAAAAACTATAACAGTAAAATCATATGCATAAGATGTCACTGGATGAAGCAAAATCTCACCATGTGGTATATATTATAGCCAGCTTTGGGCCCCCAATATGAGTAAGCACCTATGACAAAGTTGTATGCTATGTAACCTACGAATAGATATTCAAGTTATGGAGTTAAATAGACATGGTAAAACAATATGACTGGTAAAATTATAACACATAGGATATTACGATATGAAGTTCACTGGGAACTAAGCTATCCTATAGCAGCTTCTGCCACAAATTTACCAATAAAAGAAAGTAAATCTAATGAAAGCAGTTGATGCATGCAGTATATCAGTGGGAGAAATAAGTACCTAGAACATTGACAACATAAACCTCATCAAGCAAAAGCTCTTTCATATCATTCAAAAATCTTGAGAACTGATCAAAGATTTTGGTTGTGGATTTTGACCTAAAATAAGAATGAATCAGTTAAAATTTTGAACACATCAGCCACTAGATGATGGATGTCAGACAGTAAAAGATAATAGCTATTTCAAAAGGTAAGTGTTTTCACTTGGAACCGTCATTTGAGCTTTTATCTCTGAACTCTTCCTTTAAGGACAGTGACTCATCCTTTCCATTTGAAGCATCCGTAACTTTGAATCAAACACGTAAATTTCGTTAAGGCTAATATAAAGATATTGTGAATCAGAAACAATTAACCAGCCAACAACAAAGAAACCTAAATTTTCAGTTAATTGCAAGATATTAGGGGAGAAATGAGTGACTATCGTCTATCGGTTCTACACTTCTACTTGTACCAAAAGAAAAATAATATTACTTCCCACAAGACCAGGAAAAGGGAAATAATGGAATATGCACTTCAAACATGGACACTTTTAAGCCTTCTGAGAAAAATAGTAGTTTTGGTTAAATATATATTCAGTATCTTCCTTCAAAAAGAAAAACATCTAATCTCCCCCACTTGCTTCAGATAAAGGGATAAAAACTGAAAGAAAACAGGAATAGAAATAAGCCTAGTTTTAGACAGAACATTCATCTCAAAGTGTACTCAACAGCCAAGGTTTCATGAAAGAGAAATTGAATTTTTTCGATTCTCAAATAAAGAAGACTACAATGATACTAGAGAGAAATATAGAACCCAAGGACAAAGATTCCACCAAAAAACAGCATAACAATAAAAGAAAAAGGGGTGGGATTAAAAAATGCTCAAAGGAACAAACCAATCCCTTTGCAAATCTGTTAAAGAGACTACAATAAAGGCCTCAATAATTGCAACCCACAATAAAGGAGAAACGTTAACCTGTCCCACAAGAGATGAGCTGGTAAGAATCTCTGGCTAAAATTCCTTTTTTTAATATAATTTTCATAAGCATAAGTTTGTATATATGAAATTGCCATGAATATACAAAAAATAAAAAACGATAATGAGCCCTGGAAATTTGTTCTTTATCATAAGACTTAAGATAGAGCAATGGTGCTTAAAAAAAAAGGAAATATTGACTTTGGATAATGTGTAACTCTTAGTGTACCTTGAACTTCTGAGGAAACTGTTTCAGGTGCCAGTGCCTTTTCTGAATCAGCAGAAACAAAACCTGGATCCACACGTAGTTTAGAGATGGAAAACTGTAAAGAACTAATTCAACCCAAAAGCTTAAGCTGTTGGGTGAGGCTACATTAATGGTTTTATATATCGCAACACGCCCCCTCACACGAGAGTCCACTGGGCTTGAAGGGTGGACAATGCACAGGCCCACCTACCTGTGCGAACAAAGAAATTTCACTTGAAAGAACCTTGGGATACACCACCCTAAAAGCTAGCTCAGAGGGTGGGAGTATCTAAGGCCTTATAAACTCCACATGAGTTGCTCATACAACCAATGTGGGATTATATATCTCAACACGCCCCCTCACACAAGAGCCCATTGAGCTTGAAGAGTGGACAATGCAACAGGCCCAACCTACCTGTGCTAAGAAAGTCCACAAGAGAAAGTGGGGGACGGCGAGGCTCTAATACCATGTAAAGAACCTTGGGATACACCACCCTAAAAGCTAGCTCAGAGGGTGGGAGTGCCCAAGGCCTTATAAACTCCACATGAGTTGCTCATACAACCAATGTGGGACTATATATCTCAACAGGATAATCAGATCTAATCATATCTAATCAGATCTAATCATATCTAATCATATCTAACAATATCTAACAATATCTAACAAAAACAATGATGTGTTCGCAAGAAATCAATGCAAGTCCAACGTGCACCTTTCAACTGCAAAGGATTCATAAAAAATCCTGAAATAGCAAATGGAAGCATCAATACAGACTCTACCCAGAATGCATAACGCCAACCAAAATAACTTCCCACCTGTTAATAAACACAGAAATGATAAAATTAGAGAGGGCATTGAAAAAGAGAGAGAGAAGCAAAATACACATAGTGATTGTTTCTGCAGTATATTACTATACAAGGGGATTCCCCCACTTGTTATCTGATTTTTTTTTTTTCTTGAAAGACCAATGCTTTGTTTCTTTTATAATTGAAAGGGAAGCATAAAATTGTCACTCTAAATTAATTATAAACCCACTTCCTACTTTTAAGAAAATCCCTTTTTAAAATCATTTGTCTATATCTATTACAATTTTAAACTAAAAATTCTACTTTTCACTTAGTTTTTAAAATTTAGAAAGAGAACTATGCTTTCATCCTACATTTAAATTCAGAGGAAGATTATTGTAAAGAACCAATTCAACCCAAAAGCTTAAGCTATTGGGTGAGACTACATTAATGGTTTTATATATCTCAACACGCCCCCCACACGAGAAGCAATTGGGCTTGGAGGGTGGACAATGCACAGGCCCACCTACCTGTGCGAAGAAAGAAATTCCACAAGAAAGAAAGTGGAGGGCGGCGAGGATCGAACCTAGTACACCGAGGCTCTGATACCATGAAAAGAACCACTTCAACCCAAAACCTTAACGTGTTGGGTGAGGGCCTTTTAAAGACTTTATATTATTCTCTAACACGCCCCCTCACGCAAGAGCCCTTTGGGCTTGAAGCGTGGATTATTGCACGAGCCCAATTTTTGGTTTACCTTAAGCTTATTTACATGGTTTCAGAGTCTCGTGTCCTAGGTTTAATCCTCACCGCCCCCCACTTTCTCTTTTGGAATTTTTTTAACACAGGTGGGCCTGTGCATTGTCCACCCTTCAAGCCCAGTGGGCTCTCATGTGAGAAGGTGTGTTAGGGAATAGTATAAACCATTAAAAAGCCCTCACCCATTAGTTTAAGCTTTTGGGTTGAATTGGTTCTTTACAGTTATATTTACAAACTTTTTGTTTACAAACTTAACTATGTCTAAGGGTAGTACATAAACCAAATCATGTAAAGTTGTTATATCTTTCCACCATACCTGCAGCACAGTTGTTATTATTAGTATTAAATAGTTGCATGAAAAATACAGATCAAAACTTACCAAACCACCGTAGACATAGCCAAGTGCATATCCCGTTGGTATACACATGTAAAATATTGCAAGCCACGCTGTTTTCTGATACATACACAGATACAGCAGTATGAGACAGGTTTCCAACAGGAAAAAAAAAAACAACTATAATGAAGAATGACATTCCAACTACAGAGAAGCATACAGGGGATGTCATCCACTTTTATAAGATTATATCCATAAATCATTGAAATGTTGAAAATAAGCAAACTTCTCGCAACTTATGCTGATCAAGTGATTACAATGACTAAGCTAAAATTCTTTATGAATGCTTAATAGCATTAAACGTCACCAAAATCGAACTTATCAAACCTGAATAACTATGCAGCAGACCCCGAAACCGCTATAGTGGAATATCCGCTTTACTAAAGATTATAGATACAAGTTAAATAGTTTATGCTACAGATAATATGTGAGGGCTTGATAGTGAGCATAACAGAGAATAGACATTCTTCGTATCTAAAAGCGGGAGATGCTTCCAAGGGAAAGAAACAAACCTGAGCAACTGGGGCATTGTCATCAATAAAAGGTGCTGCAAGACTTATAAATGAAGCCTCACCAAAACCAACCAGCCTATAGAGAATAATAAAAGCATAAGGAAAAAATAAGCCAAATCTCTTCTTGTATTTTGTACTATTTTTTTGGGTACGTTATATTTTGTACTATTATTTAACTACTCAAAATCAAAATTGCATAACTTGAAAAATAACAGAATTAGACCACTTACATGCGACAGACTGAAATGGACCAGAAATTAAAAGAAAGACCACAACATAAGGTTGCAAGAGTCCAAACTGACAATCCAACTCCTATAAGTCTAAAGGGGTTCACACTGCAAAAAATAAGAATTGTGGAAGGATTAATATGTAATTTAATGACGGCAATTCCGAATCACAACAATCATATGAGCTATATGTACAACGCAGAAAAGATCAGAAATTCTCGGTTTTCAATTATTATGTCTATCAAACATAAGAACCTCAATGGACAAATGGTCAAATACATCCATAATCCAACTTTTATCATAATTTATGCAGCAAAGTATTTTAGATAAATGGTCTCGTCAATTTAAAAACAAGAAAGTCATAACCAAGAAGATTTCGTCCATTAAATATTAAATTGCATGCCAAGTAGGAAAAAATTGAAATTAAATATAATTTATCTGTGGTGGTTCAAAAGCCTCTTCAGCTTTCAGAAGTTTCATTCAATTAAAACACATCTTCTGAAGCGTTAATAGGTTGAATATTTAAGCTAAATAAAGTACAATAGTAAGAATAGGGTTTCAACTAATTGCAACACAAATGGTTACTACTTATTACCTCTTAGCCAGAGAAGCAAATATTGGACAAGCCACGAGAAGTCCAACCAAAAAAGCAGATGACAAAACTCCATCTTCAAAATTGTTCAAGTTAAAATCCCCCCTGCACACAAGGAGAAAAATATATAGTCAAAAACTACTAAATTGCTGAAAATTTACTTCTGCATATTACAGGAGCACAAGAAAAGCTCATACAGGCAGAAGCAACAGTTATCTTGCAGACTATAAATTAAATTCTACACCTTGGTGGGTGATGCTTCTCATGCCATTTTGATAAGCATGCATACATAACAGTAGGACAAAACTGGGTTTTTAACCAAGCAAGAGTCCCAATTTCTTTCTCTCATTATTTCAATAATTTAAGGATATCTTGCATGAGTGCTTTTCAATTCAGAATGCTGTCATTTCTTTTTAATTTTTTAAGGTAAACCACATTTTAAAGCCATGAGACAACACCCTCTATTCTTGATTTCTTGTTCTGAAAGAGGAAGGGAGCATGAAAAACCACAGATGCAGGTTTGATAATTCGGTTACTCATGCATTAGTTATTCAAAACCTTTGAGAGCCACATTAAACATGTTGCTGTGGAATATAACAAAAACATAAATCGAGATCAGAGGCAATTTGTAAATTTTGACCACAGACATTGGGTTTTTCAAGTCAGTTATTTTGTGATTGAGGATTCACATGAAAAATATAATAAATAATTATGACTTATTTTGAGTAGTAATTCAGATTTCCTATTATGTGAGAACTGGCTATTAGTGTTTACTGTAAAATCATGGTTTCCTGTTCCCATTAGCTTATTTCTTTTGGAGTTCCTACTTAAGGAATAAATTAGTGTTTTCTTTTTATGATTCCTTGAATTAATAAGGAATCATCCCACATTAATCCAAAAAAAAGGTACAAAAGGAATGCTTTTTTACATCAGCCAACCTCCCTTCCTGTCCCTTTTTGGTTTCACTTCTCCCTCCCCTTTTCAATTATGTTCTCTATTCTACTCTACGAGAATCTCTTGCTTTAGAACAGAAAATTCCATCAACACCCCCACCACCCAAACACAAAAAAAAAAAAAAAAAAAAAGAAGTTCGAATAAGCTCAACAATTTAAAATCATAGGGTATAGAAAATTAAATGCCTGAGGCGTGAGAGAAATGATACTAAGTATATCTTACTGTATTCCTGTACCAGAAGTGCAGGTACCATCTTCGGTGCATGTTCCCCTACTTCCATTAACACCATTGCTTGCTATTGCTCCTCGATCCAAATAGTTTAACAAATTAATCACGCAAAATATAGCAAGTAGCCTACGAAACAAGAGCCAAAATACCAAAAAACACTTCAGAAGAACATAATTTGTTCAGAATGGCTTAAAAAGTTTCTCCCCACACCCTAATAACAAAAATTCAAAAAGACTGAAACTTTCTTTGCTTTACTTAACCCATTTTTACAGTACGGATCTAGGAGGGGGAGAAGGAAACAAAGAAGGTACATTACCTCTTGGGTGTAAACCATGAAGTGGTGGGAATCATGGTGGAGATTTTGGACATGGGTGGCTCCATAGATTGAGAAGTCGTAGTAAGCTCAGGGGAAGGCTTTGACTTAACTCGTAAGTTTTCATCTTGTGCCATCTCAGTATAATACTTTTAACACTTGACACCTACAGTGAACCTGTTATTAAGATCGAAAATTGTTGAATGGTAGTTAATATAACGTCGCTGAATTTTAGAAAGCTATCTCAGCTTTGTCTCTCTACTTTCTCTTGTCTCAAGTCTCAACTACTTTTTAGTTTTAACCAAACAGGTTAAAATTTAGGATTTTATTAATCTCATATTAAAAAGAGATAAGTTATCTCATGTTATATAGATAAATTTGTGGGCTCCACCACTTTAAAAATAAAATGAAAAGAAAAGAATAAAGTGACACAATTATCGAAGGGTGTATAGGAGAGAAATTTATCACATGTAGCATAAGAATAGTTTTTCCCTAAAATTTAAATAATTCTCTTTCTTTTATTTTATTTTTTCCCTTTTTCATATTAAATAGGAATTTGCATTTTCAAGTAGACAAAATGTTAAGCACAAAAGACTCCCGGATCCTTGCCTCGTATAAACTCTTTTGACCTTTTTTTCGGTGACAACTATGCTGATATATGGTATATGTAAAAGGAAATATTACTTTTCTTTTATATAAGATAATTTCTTTTTTACTTTCTCACTTTAATTTTCGCACCATATGTTTTTTTTCCTTCTTGTAATGATAGGACTCATCCTTTTTCTTTTTACAACATAAGATAGTTATTTTATGTAAAAAGAGAATAATAAAACTTATATGTAAATTATGATTCGGATTCCTGTCCCATTGACTTTTCTTCTTCTTCATCTTTTTTCCTGTTTATTTTAGCTCTGGTTTTCTCTTATGTTTATCTCATTTTCCTTTATTTTTCAAATGAAAATGCAAAATTTAAACACTTGCTTCTAATGTTTAAAGAGTGGGAGAAAAACAAAAAAAAAATTATTGCAATTCGTGTGCTAGACTTTTAATTAATTTACCGTATGGATATGAAATGTAGTCCTATAAAACAAAATAAAGAATTGTCATATGTAATATTTCATATTTAAGAGGATAGGGTTTCGATATCTGTCAATATATTATCACAGAAATATCGATAAGATATGCTGCTTTTAAATAAATTCAAAGATGTGTTTGATTAACATTTTATGAGTAATTTTAAAATTTTAAACAGTAAAATAAAAAATAAAAGTGAAAGTTAATAGATAATTACAAAATAACTTCTATTATCATATACTTACCTCTAATGATAAAAATAAAAATTCAACAAAACATGTTACTTTTACAAAACCTAATAGTCTTCGAAAATATGTTCCTATAACTAAAACTAAACATAAAAGTATTATATTTTAAAATTAACTTGTCGCTCAAAAACTAAATTCAGTCTGCCATGGCACGAATTCATGGTAGCGAAATTAAGGCCAGGATTTTTCCTTTGGTGGACCTTCGTGGCGTGGCCCAAAATTGCCAATGCCTTATTTAGCCCCATGCCGATACTTCCAACAAATAATGACATAATGGGCATGGCATTGGCAAGAGCCACAAAGCCATTATTAATTCGGAAGCAAGGGCCGTAGATTTTTTAATTCAATTTATAATTTTTTTTTTCGGGATCCATATTTATCAGACACGGGTCCTGTACAAATGGCATAAAGCTTCCTTTAATTACAATTAATCTTGAATTGAAATGGAATATACAATTCATTATAGGGATGACAACTGGCTGTGGCATACTGAGTTGTATAAAATGCTATATAGCTAATCCTACAGGAATTTTACTTCAATTGCGGTTACTGTACCTAATGCAAAGATTTGTTACCTGTTACCAGGTTTGGCAGAAGAATTAATTCCTCTCACTTCTATTTACTACAACAGAAGCAAATGATATTGGTTATTCATCAATGTATCAAACTGAGCAATTTATATCTAATTATTCACATTATTAGTACGTAAAGCAGAGAATTGCTAGATGAACTGAAAGGCTTCGCCGTTCATTTTTAGAATTATTTTCATCATGTTAAATAGCTATACGTTGTGTGGTCTTTGAATAATTAATTGAAATGGGGATCTGAGCTGTAAAATGATGCTGTCCTACATCTACAAGCTCTCTGTAATCCTATACATACGGTTGGCGTCTGCAAAAATATTGGAAGACTTTCTGAAGCTATTGGGTTAGAGGAGCAAAATTAATGGAAAGATCTAACGAAGCTCTACAGAAAATTGTCAGGGTTCCTCAATGGCATTGCGACAAGGGATTGTTGGATCCACCAGATTCTTCTCTCCTAGAGCATCTTGAGATCCAAGTAATGAGCTTTCTTCAGTACCTTGTTTCCTACATAAAACGCTATGTTCTTCAAAATTCACGGCTTGATTGAGTTCATAATCTTGTTCTACTTCCATCTGAATTCTAGGGACTGAAGCATGATCTGCCTGGTTCGATTCTGATAATTCAGATTCATGTGAAGTTGTTGCCATAGGTACATGTGCCTCTGTCAAGTTACCAACCCTCACCTTACAAAATAAACACATCAGTTTCTCCTTACACAAATTAGAATGTCAATACCATCCATAAAAGTTATAAGGAATAACAAATTCAGAAAAGGAAAAACGATGCATGATATGAAATAGTTAGCTTGAAATCTGGTTCCCAAAAGAAAACATCAATTTCCTTGATACACCCCCAAGATGTAGGAGTTATCATGCAAAGACTATATAACAAAACCAAACAGTTGAAAAGTCTTCCCACCAATTTCTTTCCCAAAACATTTTTATTAGACTAGAGAAATATTGTTGTAAAAAATAGCATTCAAAGAGAATCAGCAGAAGTGTCTAGGGCTATATTTCAAGCAGGTGCGAGGAAGGAAATCATTATGTCTAAAATTCAACCAAATTTCTTCCACTTGTAGCATAGACAAATCAATATTTTGAACTACCTGCAGTGGTTTCATCATATCTGATTCATGGTATTCGGACTGGCTGACTGCTTGTTGAGCTTGTAGCTCCATGGAATCTCTAATGAGCTGACTTAAAAATGCCACATCATCAGACATCATGCCAAGGCCTTTCAGAAGCTTAGAACCCAGCAGTAAGCTAGTCTGCACGAATTAATTAATTCTTAGCTGTAGTTTCCACCAAATTATTGAGCAATGGTTGTTGCAATCTCCAATCATCAGGGGGGAAAAGAATAGAGAAGAAAAAGAAAATCGGAAGTACCTCTGCATTTTCCAAAATGGCATCTGTTGCACCTGCTTTCTTCAGATCTAAAAGATGCTCGAGATCTTTAGCTCTGGCATAAATTGGGACCTGTGCAATTTCGTCAAAAAGTAAGCAATTAAACTAGGATAATTAAAAACAGAAATAAAGTGTTGAGATATATAAACTGAATTCAGAAAGGTTAACCCTAAATCAAATAGTTAAAAAGTTTACCCACCACCACACACCCAAATTGTTGAGCCTAACAAGTACAAGCCTCAGTGAATTAGATATACTTTTCCTCTGTTTTTTCTAGTATGCGCAAATTGGGGGTGTGCTTTACAAAAGATAAATATAAGCCTCCTAAGATAAATACTGGATTTACAGGAACTCAATTTTTAAACAAAATAAAGCAAAACTATTCATATCAAAATTTCTGTTCATTCCAGGAAAAAAAACCACAATTTCTCCTTCGTATGCATGTATGATATAATTTATACCGAATTGGGAAAAGCATGGAAGAGGTGGGCAAGAGATTACTGCAGGGAAAGTAAATCGTAGCCTCTGAACAGCTTCAACTGTCTTCTTCTTGCCAGCGTACATAACCATGATAGCTTTTGGAGAAGAGATACCAGCAGATTGAAGAACAGCTGGACGTGATCCATCCCCATAGCGAATTGGAAAGCCAACTTTTGTAGCAGCCTGCCCAGCAATTTAATAGTAAAATAACAATAAAATGAAGTGGATAAAACAGTTTACAATATGAAGGATAAGATGTCTTCCTCAGAAAGAAAAAAGAAAAGGATGAAAGAATCGTTTTTGTTCTCTTGAGAAAATAAAGAAAATGAAAAGCTAAGAACATACAGATATCAAATGATTAATTAGTCAATTATCAATTGGCACTTATTACACTGCCATCTCATGCAATACTCAAGAATGACAAGATCCGCACAAAAAGAAGAAAGAGAGAGCTGTACATCAGGTCCAAATATAAATAGTGTTTGTCCATAAAGTGAAGCTTGTCCATAAAATGAAGCTTGTCCTTATATTCCATACGTCGTGTAAGGGAATGTAGAGAATGTTTCAAGATATTCTAAACAGCAGACTTTTACTCAAGAATTTCAAAAAACTTCTCAGAAAAGAAAATGTCCTATGCAGATACTAGTAGGCAATAGCCATACACAATGATCAAATACACTGACCTTTACCACTGTGGGGTCAAGATCAAAAGCCACATAAGGCCATCCTACTGCATCACTATCTCCTGAAGCCAATGGGTTGGACAGGAAATTGGCAAGGACCTCCACATCAGAAATAAAACGAAAAAAATTAGAATATGGACTATATAAATGACCAGTAGTCATAGAATGTATTGCTTGATCTACCTGGCCCATTTGTCCAAATCCAATAATAACAACAGGTTCACTGGCACTAAAGTTGACCATATCAGAAGCTTTCTGCAAATAATTTAGTACTCAGCCAAAGTAAACTTGCAGCTAAAATGAAATGATTTAGTATAAGACTGCCCACATATATAGTTTGTAGAAACCTAAATATTGTGTTCTTTCTGTACAATAATGTCCTCTAGAACATTTTTTAAGCTAGTTAAAGTAAAAGAAATTAAAAGAAGTTGACACACAATCCACAGAATAAATGAAATTTGAATCTACAAGAATTATTAATAAAACAACATCTGAATTTTTCGGTATTCATTTACACTTTTGACGTAAAATATCTTATGTCAAACACTCCAATAAATCATCATGGCTACCAGCAATCCTTATATGCATGCAAGTAGAGGTAGCAAAACATGTCATGACCCGCAGGTCGACCCACAACATGACACGTTAAAATGCAAGTCTTGCCGACCCGTGAGATAAAACAGGTCGTGTGCAGATTTGGGTAGATGACACAAATTAATGTCATGTCGTATCATGAGTTGACCCGCGTGACCTGCGTGTCAACCAGCAAAATATTTTTTGTCAAAAAAATAAAAGAAGTTAAAATTTTGATGATTTTCACATACCCCATTACGGGTCACCGGTTGACCCGAGTATTTTATTCAATTTTTCCCTTTCATTTTTAATTTTTTTAGAAAAAAATAATTGTGGTCGTATACGAGTTGGACAATTAGACCCATGGGTCAGATTTGATACAACACAAACCCGACCCATCGACACGTTTTGTCATCCCTACATGCAAGTGTGTGTGACTATGTGCATGTAACTTCCAAAATTATAAATCTTACAAAAAAGACATACAATCTCAGCATCAAATTTGTCATCAATAAAACCAGCAGCCCTTCTTCCTGCTTCGTTAAGAAATGGGGTTAATACCATTGATAGTACAACAACAATTATTAGCAACTTGTTGAGCTCAAGCGGAAGCACCCCAAGCCTGTTTACAGGAAGGCATAAAATTTATAGTTAAAAAAGCATGCCCAATATTTTCATAAATAGCATTAGTGCATTTGGTTAAATAATTACGTACCTATTTGCTAAGGAGAAAACTACAAATCCAAACTCCCCTCCTTGGGATAGAAGCAATCCTATTCTTACACTTTCTTGTAAAGTAAGCCCAACACAAGGACCAATTGCAGTTATGATTAATGTCTTGATAGCAATCAAACCAGCCAAGAGTGAAAGTACATTTGGCCACTCTCGCAAAAGGAGCTGCAACAAAGCAAATAATAAATATCAATTGGAAAGCAAACTTCTAAGCATACTTTCACAGGGGAGAGTGGACTGTTTCACAAATTCATGCAAAAGCAAGTTGGTGATTATCTATGTTCCTTTGTGGATGGATCTAGCAAAATCACTGTAGATTAAACATCACAAATTCACGTTCTCGGGCTTCCAGTTGCTTGAAAACAGAGAAATCTCAATGTCATTGATATGATCTGATCCCTATCCAACAAAAGGGGAGGAATCGTATTACTAGTAAAAGAGAAGAATTACAGAAAAGGATAGAGCCCCTCCTATGGAGGAGACTCCTAGCCCAATGCACAAAGCCTGAGAATTAAGAAAAAATCGTATCCTCTCCTATCTGACCCCTTTCCCTCTTCATACAACAGATTCCCTCCCTCTCCCCCCTAACTACTCTCCTTTTAAATCTACTTTCGCTTTCTATAACTTTCTTTCCCTCCCTTCATTCTCATTCCCTCCTTTATCTGTTTTTCTTTGTCTTAGGCCTGTAAAATTATACTTGTAGGACTTAGGTTTTGGGCTTAGATGACCCAGTAGTCATTCAAGCATGGATTTTATTTTTACTTTTATGTTATAAAGTAACATAACATAAAAGGGGGCGAACCGGAACAGTGATAAACCTGTTCTTTCATGACTGAAAAGTCATGGGTTCGAATCCAGGAAATAGCTTCTTTGCATTTATGCAAGGGTAAGGCTGTGTACAAGAATTTCCTCCACCCCACACTCGCTAGTCGGGTTTAACAGGGAGTGATTTTTAGTTATAAAGTAACATAAAAAGGGTACACGATATATCTATCCAAAGCACTTGAGTATTTGAAATTTTGAATTAAAATATGTCCAAATCAAGTACGCTGCATGTTTCAATCTACTAGATTATTATATCAGAGGTCAAAATCTTATGCTGCAATATCCAGTTAGATGAATCCGACAGTTAAAACTTGCATGCATGGACAGACAACAGTCTTACTAGCAAATAGTGCTTCTTAAAAAAAATGAAATAACCATGTTCACATATACCAAAAATAATAATCATATTTACCTGCATGTCGATGGAAGTCCCCGTAGTTAGAAAAAATAACCCAAGAAGCAAGCCTTTAAACGGCCTTATGTCAGCTTCAATCTGGGTCCTGAAATTTGTCTCTGCTAAAAGTGACCCAGCTAAAAATGCTCCAAGCTGCATTTGACATTGCATACAATTGTCAGGCATGTATTCAATTTATGATTTCTCCGCTATCACATATCCAACCCAAATTAAACTCTGCATAGGAAAACAGTGAACCGTATCACTAAAGCCCAAATTCTGTGTGACAAGTGAAGTCCCAGCAATAGTCAGCAAGCAAAGTGCAACAAAAGCCTCTGAGCTCCTTGCATCTGCAACAACCTGAATTTGACCAAGTTTACTGCCTAGAATATATGAAAATGAGTTTGGACACTTTTTAACTATTTTGCATAAAATAAAATAAATAAATGTTGGTGTATCATACTGACCTCAAAAACTCTTCTAAGAATGTACTTTCCCCCAAGAGAAAGCAGACCCAATCCGCCTAATGCCTTTAGACTTTCTAGAGCAAGCATAGGCCAAATACTTCCCTCAGCCAGATTCTAGAAAAAGAAATTAGACAGCTCTGGGTCAACCATCAATAAATGACATGAAGCATCTAATAAGCAACCAATTTAAATTAATAATAGGTAATAGTCAAGCAAAATATCGTAACTGTCAGTCTCAAAATTAAACTAACTGGGATGCAATAAGGAAACATTTTAATAATGGAGGAATCAGATGAAATCGCCTCTTAACATAGAATTTTGATAAAAAAAAAAAAATCGAAAATTTTGCCATTTAAATGTAGCAAGGAAAAAAGAAAAGGATTAGCCCACTGCCGTTACATGGAATACACACACAACACACATATATTCAAAGAAACATCTGCTAGATAGGTACAACAAAGTGTTTCCAATGGGGAATTATGGGTCTATATATTTAACAACGCACCTTTACAAGATTTTGAAAGGTAAGAGTTTTAACAAAAAAAAGATAATTTGTTTATTTTGAGCTTTTGTAGGCGGACATTCCCATACTCTACGCACCAATGGAGTACCTCGCTATTATTACAAATAATTAAAACACCATTATCCAACTATGCAAGTAGTGGTAGCTGATTAATGCAATAGTTGAAGACCGAAAAAGTTATAACAAATTAAGGGACTTGTGAACCATAATAAAAAGCAACATAAAGGGCTGTACTAAACCTAAATTTGTTAATATATAAGCAACCAACCAGAAAAGCAATGAATTAAATTTAAAATAAAAACTGGACCTTCTTTTATAATATGTGTGTGTTAAATATTATTTTTGGTTTATACTTTTACCTGGCTCTCTAGTACTGGAAGAATGACTAGAAGTGGGACAACAGCTATGTCCTGCATATACATACCAAGCAGAAAAGGAAACAACATTAATTATGCCACAGCTGTTCTTTACTGACATCATGCTTCTCAGGTCAATCTACTAGGGTATATTAGCAGAGCAGATATACTAAAACAAATAAAATGATTTTAACAACTACTTTTTTGGTGATAAACAACTGCATATTTAAAGGACAAAGATAGTGTAACCAAGCAAGAGTGGAAGACAAAAAACCTGCAAAAGAAGTATTCCCAGAGTTGCTGAACCAAATCTTGTAGGAAGCTCACCTTTTTCTGCAAGAAGCTAAATATATGTGTGCTTGATAAGCTAAATTAGCCATATTAAGTGTCACAACAGTTTGTAAGTGCATGGGACACAACTAAAGTCACCAAAATAAAGCAGACTTAAACTTTTTCCATGATTTCTTTCAATGAGTGCAGTATATGATGAAGAGTATGTTTCCTATAAGAAAAAGGATAAAATTAAAGTGATAGAGAAGGGCTAGAGGAGGAAAACAACATAAGCATTAGCTACTAAATCAATATGGTCATTCACCAACTACCCCAAAAGCTTAAGTTGTTAGTTAAAGACACATAAAAAGGGTTTTATATTACATCTCTAACAAGCTCTCTCATGCAAAAGCCCTTGGGACTTGAAGAATGGACAATGTACAAACCCATCTACCTTATGAGAATTGAGAACAGATTGGTTCTAACTCAACCCCAAAAGCAAGCTCGCGGGGGGAAGACTGTCTAGGTAATTATGAGGAGCGCTTTGATCATATACCTTCCTGATGTGCGATCTTAACACACCTCCCTCAGGCCCAAAGTGACCATTTGGAGCGTGAAGTTTACAGGACTAGACATCTAAAGGTGGCCCAACCAACATCAAGACTAGAATAGGCTCTGATACCATGTCATGGACCAACTACCCCAAAAGCTTAAACTGCTAGGTAAAGACACATGAATGGATTTATGATAAAGATCTAAAATAGATTGCAAAAGAAATGGGGAATGCAAAGAATTCTAGCTAAGAAACTTAGGTATTTTTTTGTTGTAATCATTAAGGGAATTATTAAAGGGTTCCCTTTTTGTCATTTGACATGACAAGAGCAATTTCCTACACACACAAATCAAGTGTGGGTCCCACGCTTAAAAAAAAAAAAGTCAGACCAAAGTCAGGATACGACGCCGTATCCTTGTTGCAGGAATGAACAGTGCCATTCCTGCAACATGATTCTTATATTTCCCATTATTAAATCTCACAAAACTAATTTTGTGAAACATTAAATGATTGGAGAAAAGGGGAACACGCATGAAGTCTTTGTATAAGGCGTACAAGGATTTCCCTCACACTTACGCTCACAAGTCAAGGTTTCATGGAGAGTATTTTTTATTACATATTAATTGTGAGGGTGGTGCATTGGAGACATTTGTGAATCATTTCGCAGAAAACCATTCTTGTAAAACAGTATTTCTGATTAATTAATGGGAAAAATGTTTGTCCTTTTAAAGGATGGTTATTTTAGTTAAAACTAGTGTTTTTATTTAAAATTTAAATTAAAAAAAATCACCAACTTTCTCCCCCCATGAGTTCTATTGCGTATCTCTTTTTCTCATTTGAAAGGACACAATTCTATGTCCTTTAAAAGGACAAACACCAAACCCTTAATTAATTACGCAAAATGAAACCCGGAATCTCAAGCTTTCTACTGATACTTTTCTCTCCAACTTAAATAAATGTTGAGAGTTATAAATATTATACAAAAGCAAGGATGTGTATGTTGGCATTAACCTAAATAACTAAAAAAATTAACACTCTTTAGCTTTTCCTCAAATTCTTCAGTAGACATGTAAATACATTTGTTTCTATTACTCGCATGCGTTTTTTATCTATATTTAAAGAATCAAGGCATTTGCTAGTTATTGGAAATTTGAAAAATCAAAATACAACCGCAGGAAAAGAGAGAGATATCTTCATAAGCCACAAATAAATATGTGAAATATAAATACAATTACTATACATAACATCAACATCATGTGTTCTGTAAAATCAGGCAATGAATTAACCTTGCTTATTTTCGACGGACATTCAAAATCACAAATACCTGTAGAACAAATGCAGAAGATGACAGAGAGAGAGCAGCAGCAATCACCACAGCTTCATCGATGCTTCTAATATTCACCTACAGTCATCAAAGAATATTAAAATAAAGGCTAAAAACATGGAGCTTCTTCGAGTTGTCTTGATATTATTACTATACATTTTCATTTAAAAAATATACTGATCTTTGTAAATCATCCTATGTATTGCCATTTGTACATCAACACAAATCACACCAGGGCATTAACCTAAAATACCTTACAGAACTCTATTCATCAACAGAAGCATAAAGGCTTCAAAAGTGACTAGCCTTTTAAGGAATAGCAAAGGTGAAAGCATTTAGGCTTATTTCATTTTTCATATGATCATATGGCATAAATGTTGTTGGCCGAAAGTCTATGAAGGAATGAAGCATATAGTAGCAGTATTGTCTTGCTTCCATGTGATAAAAACTAACAAATATATCCTACAAGCCATCTAAAGTCACTTCCTTCCTTCCTTGTAAAGGAGCTAAAGCAGATAAATGAACTAAGTGGTAGATGGTCAGGGTGACCTAAAAGCTGGGTGCAAGTTTGCAAACCATCAACACTTACATCACAGACAGATAAATAGTTAAATATGTATGTATCTCTTTATCCAGAATGATTATAATTTATAAAAGTAAAAGGTACTATATACATGAAACAAAGATACAATTGGCACATGCAGAAATCTCACCAGATCAGGCCTTGAGTGGAAAAGGACTTCCAAAATTTTGGTTCCAATGGCTCCATTTGGTGGAAGTTCAAAAGCAGTAAATGCTAAAGTTGATAATACAACCTTCAAAGGTGTTCCAATAAAAATTAAAATGAGGACAGGAAAATAAAAAGATAAGGTCATAAACGTTAAAGAAGAAAAAGCCACATCTACCACGAATCTAAGATTTTTAACATAGATGAGGCTAAAGTGACTTGGAATGGCTAAAGAAATTTTCTTTGTATGGGCATTATCACTTCCAAAGCATCATACCTGAGTCAATCCCATCCCAAAGGAAAACTTCGCAAGAGCTTTCAGACGTGCAAATGAAAGCTCTAAACCCATCTCAAACAACTGAAAAGAAACAAATATTACTTCAAAGTAATTATCCACCATGTTTATAAGGAATTTTACGTAGAAATTATCAGCATGGCAAGAATATAGCCTCCCTTCTCATACTTATATTTGAGAGTTCTCAAACGTTCTTCCAAACTGCTACCTTGACAAAAAACCATATGTTTGTAACAGCAAATATTACTCTTCTATGGTTACATACACGCAATAGTTACTATTGAAATCAATTAAAGAAAATAATTTCATGTCAACTGTTATGAGTTTCAGCACGCGTAAAGAAAATAAAAACAATCAATACAAATAGTAATTATAAGTGAGAGCACAAAGGCAAACATATAGAAACCATGCTTTCTAACAGTTCAAGTTAAAGTTAGAGTGTTGGTAACAATAAAGCCCCAGAAAGAAAATCACAGTGAAGATCGCTTCTTTTGTTTAGTCAGTGCTAAGGGCTATATATACCACTACCTACAAAATGTGCTCCATGTACTCCTTTAGGCACCTAATGATAGGAAACCACAAAAGAAGACTATAATGTCCATCTAAACTGTCTCTTTAAAAACTCACGAAGACATACAATAGTTAATGATTAGAATTGGATATTGTTTTCACCATAGACTATTACTTCTTGATTTCTTTTGTACCATAGCATGTTAAGTTATGTTGTATATATCACAGCTTCAATGCTTAATTTGAGGATGACAAACACTTATAAGTAAACAAGAGTAGCAGCAATGAAACCCAAGTAGCAGAGATTTATCTTACCAAGAAAAGGATACCCCATTCAGACAAAACTTTAACATCCGTTAGGTTTCTAATTAAACCAAACTGATTGAGTACCACCCCAGCAAAGAAGAAACCAAGTATCTGAAAACAACAACATTTAATTTATTTCAATTACAAATATAAGAAGGTAAATTGGATAAAACTAAGTGTACTTCCAAAGTCTTACATATGTGTGAGCTTTGACATGCATGTTTATAAATATTAAGTAGATTTAGATATGTGTTTTTAACATTCAAATAAATGCAAACTAATTCTGCACTACAACCATTAATTTCAATTAACTACATACCCAGATGTTCTGCAACACATAGAACTGTAATCTCAAATTCATAGGATAGTAAACATTTCAAAATTTGTTAAGGAAGTACAATGATGATAACAAATATAATATTAATAAGAATCAATTCATACACAAAAAGCCAAAGCAATGTTTGAAAAATAACTTAAAGCACGAAACTTCTAATTAGTTATGGCAGTTAACAAGTTCAGTTAAACAAAATCAGATATAAAATTTACTGTAAATCATATTATCTGCAATCTGCAGTATTCAGCTTATCATTAAAAATCAAGTCATGCAACTTTCTCATCTCTCAATGCTTGTGTTTGTAGATTTTACTTATAGAATGCCTTCCACGATATGAACTTGTTAAACTAATATAATAGTTCCTAAACTAAAAAAGCGGAGTAGCGGACTATTTGATAACGATCATGATGATGGAGATCTTTGAATATCACCATGTCAAGAGTATAAATTGTTTAAAAAATAAATAAATAAAGAGTAAAACACCAAGAAATTCTTACAGGGCTGGCTTTAATTAACTTGAATGTAGGCACAATTAAGACAGTCACAGCCAAGAAAGTAAGAGTATCCAATCCTAAATCATTGATGACTTCAACAGCACCAGCAACATCATGTGTTGCACTTGTCTGCATCCGTTCCCAATGTAATGGCCTACACTTAGAGAAATAGAAACCTTTCCAACTAGAAATTGATGGAACAATGAGAGGTTTGCTTTCAAAGAAACCTTCTGATATACAATTTTTATGACTTATCCTGTGACTAAAATCATGTGATAGTTTATCTGAATAAAACATGCAAATAAAATTTCTATGAATTCGCGACACAGCATGAGAACAACCAGGACTCTTTTGTTTGGTAAGGTCATATCCCTGCAAGTTGATTTTTAAAGAAAATATTAGAACAAGCTAACAATTATTTGAATAAGGATTAAAAGAAAAAATAGTGTTTTTTCACTCAATGTAATTTGAATAAGCATTAAGATAAGCAGCAACTTCAATGTTTAAGCATTTTCAATTTCCATTAATCTTCATATGAGGAAAAGAATTTACAGAGAAAAGAAATAAAGAAAATCATAGAGGATGTTACCTTGAAGCTTTGGGAATAAGCTAGTGACTCGAACATAGTGGTCGTTCTCACTTCTCAGGAAGTAATAAAGCTTATTTGAATATTCTTGACTTTTGGACTCTACCTAAAAACCGCCAAGAAAAAACTGGAACCGAAATTTTAGTAAGATAAGTGCACACGTAAAATGGTAAAAGATGTGAGAAATGAAAATTTTGCAGAAACCGGAAGCGTAGTATGAAGGATCTAGCTGAACCAATGCAACGTTTGGAGAACACCAAATTGAAAAGTGTATTGGCCGATGACAAATCGACAATGGTGGGGTTTTTGGATGATTAGGAGTGCTCGCAATGTCAACGTGGCGATTGTAACATTCATCGTATAATTTTTCTAAAAAGGAGATAATAAAAGCGTAAGCACGTGATTTTTTTGTTGGAAAAGTTTATAAACCCATGTGATTTACTTTTTCCATCACTTATGATTGTTTTCTTATCAAAATACATGTGATTTTATTTCATATACATTCATTTAATGTTTCTAAAGTGAATGTAGATAAATTATTTATATTTGATTTTAAAACGACGTTTTTTGGGTTGAAAAATTAAAAATTTATAATAAAAAATATTATTATAACCCTGAAATAAATTATAATTACAAAAATACTTTAATTTCCGCTTCAAAACGACGTCGTTTTGGGCTCATGTAGATAAGTTATCTACATTGACTCTGTAAAAAAAACGAACCTTATATTTATACTAACGTGTCATTTTAAATAACACATCTTACACTCTTATATTTTTTCACTCTCGCAAAGAGGTGAAATATATATTTTAAAAAAAAAATCCTCCACTTTCTTTTTCATTATTTATATTTTTCTCTGACTTAAAATGACGTAAATAATACATACTTTTTCCTTATAGTAATTTAACTAATTTATTCAATTTATTTCTATTTTACTTATTAATTAATCTGGTATAAAAATTTTGGGCACAAACAATAAATAAACAAAGTTTAGATTCATTATAAAGACACAAAAAGAATAATTATGTGTCGTGTCCCTTTCAAACGTTTGGAAGAAGAATGGACAAAATATCCCTAAAAAGAAATCACAAAAAAGGTTAATATTTGAAATTTTAAATGTAATTACTTTTAAACAAATGGATCTTTCTTTTATTATTTCTAAACCAATCCCTTATTGTTTGGCAAGCAGCTAGCATTTTATTTTTTTTATGTTATCATAACAATATTCTTTACACGTCACTTATATTATTTTATTATAATTTAATATTATATTTTTAGATAATATACATATATGTATATATATATTTCAACTTTTTTTTATTTTTTAATATAAAAAATATGGTGTATAGAAATTGTTTCTCAGGTATAATATTAATATTGAAATGTATAGATGAGAGAAAAAAGATAAAAGAGACCTTAATTTATAATATTGATGTTGGAGTCAATGCTCTCTAACTGCTTTTTTTGTAATTAATGTGATTCTTTCATTTTGTCACATTTAGCTATAAATTTTCTCTTGTAAAATTTTTTTAGGCTCCCCTTCCAACAACATTGTCTCCTATATGTTACATGTTTTTTTTTTTAGTTACAATCAAGTAGACTTTACCACCTTTTTTATTTTTAAAGTCAGATTTTATTTTTGATAAACAAAATTACAAACATAAAATAGGACAAAATGGATAAGTTTTAACAATGTTAAAGGTGAACTTGGATGGAAAAAATCATAAAAAATAATAAGGATGTAAGTGATAAAAAAAATAAATCACATAAAATTTTATGAACTTTTCCCATTTTTTTATGTTAAAGTTTTGTTTTTATGTATGTTATTTTTAATATTAGATAGTTAGATTCAGTTAAAAATAGGGCAGAATGACAGGATGGGTTGGCTTGTCTCTTAAGGGTGAGTTAAAAATATTAACCCATCTTTTCACCAAAAAAAAATATTAACTCATCTCATTTTATGGTGGATTGGCTGATCAATCCGTTAAAAAATAAAAAAAAAATAAAAACTTAAGAAAACAATATTTTATGAATTCTATAATGTTTTGTCATGTCACTTCATATTCCCGTTAATTTTTTTCAATCTCAAATCTTGTTAATATTAAGTCGAACAGTCTCTATGAATTTATTTTTATCTCCATACGTGGATAATTTTTGTCATAAAAAAAATTTTCTTTATCTTTTGGAGAGGAGTATTAAGATAAAAAAAAAATTGAATATCACAAAAACTTCACATGACAAATAAAATACTACTTGATATTAAAAAAAAAAATATCCTCAATGGGTCAACCTGCCTACCAACAGGTTGAACCCGTTTTGACTCATCCGTTTTGACTCATCCTTGTACTGGGTGAGTTTAAACGGGTTGAGAATTCCAACCTGACAACCCAACCCATTCACCATTTGTAACTGGTTGAATAGGTCAACTCGACGGATTACACGGGTTTTGCCACTCTACAAGCAATTATGAGCTCAAAGTTCCAACTTCCAAGCCTTAGGATTGCTTAATTTGTATAATTGTATCAAAAAGTGTTTTAATTATCAAATTAAAAATTAAACTAACTTTAAAGTTGTGGTTGCTAAAGAATATAAGTGTTAAAGTTTATCTTAACAACATACAAATAAAAAGAAAACACATTGATATGATAAATCTATTAACTTATAATTTTGAACTGAGATATAGGTACCAGGAAAGACATTGTCAGCGATGGTCATAACATGAATTGGTACCAGGAAAGACACGTTAAATACCTCGCGCTATATGGCCTCAATCGCATGGCCAATTGCCATTCAAGAAATGTAAACCCTAGTTTGGAGTTTGATATGGCCATCACAATATCTGCACATTACACGATACGGTCAATGCAAGGAAGCCCTCATATTCCGGCAAAAGCCAGCAAAAATTCGATGCTGCTTTTTGGGCATAGGATCCAGTACGTTATCAGATGTGAGATGCAGCAATTTTTCACTTGTATCAGCTAAAAAAATTCTACACGCAGCATTTGAAAGATAGCTTGAATATTATATAATACAAATAACGCATAGTGTGTCATCATCGGATAACAACTCCAAATTCTCAATGTATTAATCATTATTTACATATTTATATCCTAATAGCCTCAAAACTCTCCCATATCAAACAAAGACCCAAGAAAGATACAAGCACATTGAACATATTAGGAGGGGAACAGAGGAATAAAGGTAAAGATCGTTCAAGATCAGTCTTTATTTGAGTAACACTAATATTTAGCCATCACTCTATGAACCTCAGTCATAACGTAAGTACATTACATAATTATTAAGGGATGCTAAGTAGCGATATCCATACAGTAGGCTTTAGTTGGAATTGGCTGGCACAAATTTCAGTGAAATGCTATTGACACAATGGCGTTCGTCAGTAGGTGTTGGAAATCCTTCGCCTTTAAAGACGTGACCTAGATGTCCCCCACAAGCAGCACATGTTATTTCAATCCTCATCCCATCAGGGTCCGGCTGATGATACATGACAATGTTATCAAATTTGTAATAAACTGAATTGCAAATGCAATTTAAGATATAGCTAAGAAAAAATGAACTCACATTGCGATTTATGGCTCCAGGAATACCCTCAAAGAAGGCTGGCCAACCACAACCAGAATTGAATTTTGTTGTGGACCTGTAGAGAGGAGTCCCACATCCTGCACAGTTGTAAAATCCCTCACCAAAGAATTTGTCATATTCTCCTGTTCCAGGGAACCTGAATAATACCAAACCGTTTTCTTGTTAAAAGAAACCCAAATTTCGATCTTGAATAAAACTAGATACCATCATTGATGATTAATTCAAGCTGACAAACTAACTCCACAATTGTCAATTTTATCGCTAAGAAGATTTAGAACCACCACCATTTTACCCAAAAGTTTTGAGACTCAAACTCTGACTTATCGACTCTATACATCACCCTCTTCCCTCAGTTTTTCTCAGAAAATTTCGAAGCATTCAAAGTGCCAAGAATCATATAATGGAAAATTAGACACACACCACATCATGAGAGGATGATAACAGTACAGGACCACTTATACACATATAATCAATACACAACCTGTCACACCTGTTAGGAGTTTATATTGAAGCCTTTGATCTGACTGTAATACTCCAACTAACTACAAGGACACACGGACTCTAAGTTCTAACTTCAAACTACTATGATCATAAAAGCCAATGACCACGCTTTATGAGTAGTTTACTTTGTAGCCTTTAATGTGGATTCAAATGACTCGCTTGAGTCTGAAGCCTTTACTAATTGTGATTAACTTCTTTAAGCAATTGAGCCAGGTTTTCATTAAAAAGAACCAAATATTTTACACAGAGTACACAAGTACACAACCATAACACTGAGTATATACGCCATTATCAGTACACATTATATTTTATATGGCATAGCAGTAACAGTAGAGGAGATAATGAATTTGTGAAACGAAACCTTCCCTTGATATAACTAAGCAAAAAGAGAAAAATTTAACTATATTTTCATGACTTAATTCTATTCTCTAATATTGCATAAAGGGAAATTTTGGTAAAGAAAATCAACAATCGCGTGAACTTCATTCTGTCAAGTTTACCCGATTACCCACCTCCCCCAATTGATTATTTGACAGCATGTTAACATTAAACTAGGGAAAGAATGAATCAATAACAAAAAATTGAAAGCAGGGAAGCAATTTAACTGATTCAGCTAAAATGAAAAAGTAAGAATATTACTCGGTGCCCTTTTGTCTAAGAATCCGAAACTGTTCAGGCGAGAGAACTGCACGCCATTCTTCTTCAGATTTGTGGAGCGACCCAGGTGCAGCCATGGCGACAATCCCACCACGAAAACCACGCTTCGCCTGGTGAATGGATGAACCGCTAAAGGGAGGTGCAGAAATGATGAGAGTGGGAGGAGTAATGGGCTTCGACGGAAAAAAGCTGAAGAGTGAGGTGGGATGATAAGGAAAGGGTTGAAGGAGAGTCGAGAAAATGGGTTTGGTTTTGGTTTTGGTTTTGGAGGAACAAAGAGGTGTGGAAGTGGCTCTCACTCTCAGAATATTGAAGCCCATGGTGATGTGTTCACAGGGACACTCAGTTTTGATATTATCTGTATTTATTTATTTATTTTGCCATGATTATCATTATCAGTATTTTATTATTTATTTACTTTTCTTCCTTTTTCTTTTGCCATGATTATCATTTATCAGTATTTATATACTATTTTCAACTAAAGGGGTCGCTTTGATTTCCTTTTCTTCTTTTAACTTTTCTTTTTGGTTTATTAGGTCGGTTTAATCTCATAGGCACGGATAAATTTTTGATGCATTAGATGTACTCAATTTGGTACATCTTTTTATTCACATTTGAAAAAAATTTATCGCTTTTAAAAAAAATTCCACTGTATTAAAAAAGTTTATTTTTTAAAAAAATATACCGAATTAGATATATTTAATGCACCAAATATTTATTCCATAGACACGCAGCTACTATTCCTGATTGGATCTAACTATCTAAGGACGTTTATAACGTGAACCATGAGTTATTTATATCCCTTATAGATATAATATATATAAATCAACGTTAGACTTAGAACCAATGTCTTCGTACTCCAAGATCAGGAGAGTTTTTCATTTCAAAAAATCTATTAAATTATTAAGAGTTCGGGTCTATTTTATACCGACACCGAATATCACTGTTATAAAATCTGGTTTGACTCGGAATCCGGCGAACCAGTCATCAGACCGATTCGGGTCAAGCATTGGACCGGTCATATATTGACCTGATCTAAACTCGGACAAAATCAATCAAACCCGGTGTTTCGGTGACCTAGTCGAGTCATGCATTTAAAAAAAGAAACTAAAACTGTTTCATCTTATTACAAAAAAATGTAGAACTCATTTTAAAAAAATTTGTAATTCTATTTGCTAATATACTCTTCTACAATGACTTTAGTTTCTAATACTGAAGCAATTTATGAAATAATAAATTAGAGAACGAGACATGTGACATTTTAATGTAGTTGAATTTGAAAAATATGAGTTCAATATCATTGAGAGATGTGTTTATGGAAATTCTGAGTTGCAATTTAAATTGACATAGTAATAGCGTGCATTTTTATTTATTTATGCTTCATATTTTTGAGCTTATTTAGTAAACCTTGTTTAATTCATTTTAAATATGAAGAATATAATTGAATTTATATGTTCATATTTATATATATCCAGGTCAATCGGTCCGACCAATGACCCAGTAACTCAGTACTCCGACCGGGTCGATGCCCGAGTTGGGTTTAACAACCTTGCCGAATACAGGATATGATATAATACGATATTTTTATATGTTAATTTTAAAAGATATTAGGTTTATATACGTTAGAAAATGTTTTCATATTAGGGGTGTTCATCAACCGATCCAAACCGATTCAAACAGCGGTAATCGAACTGAAAAACCGATAACCGAATAAACCGAAAATCGAAAAACCGAGAACCGAATAAAAACCGCAAATTTTAATTGGATTGGATCGGTTTTCGGATGGGTTGATGAAAACCGATCCAATCCAAACCGATCCCATATATTAATTTCCATCTACCTACTTGGGTCTTTCCTCCCATCATAGCCCAAATTTTTTTAAACCCAAGACCTATTAACCCATGAACTAAACCCAAGAAAAAACCTAGTCACATCTCATTAACAAAAATTTATCTGTGTAAAACTTCATATCTCATTGCCAAAAAAAAAAACTATATTATCATTTACTCTTCTGTTTACTTTTTTTTTTTACAAAGCCTATTATACAAAAAATGTTATTTGCACAATAACCATAAAACAAATTTTAACATTCTAAAAAAACCGAAAATCGATCCAATCCAAACCGAAAAAAATTGGATTGGATCGAATTTGAAAAAAAAATGCAAACCGAATGGATGATGACATGATCAAATCGAAGAGATTGGATCAGATGATTTTTGCTTCCAAAACCGATCCAATTCAGACCGCGAACACCCATATTTCATATTAAATAATATTTTTAGGAGCAGAATATACTTTGTCACTACAAAAGTTCATCTCTTTTACCATCAATCTAATCACTATTAATTTCTATCAATCTATCATCTATGATTTATTGGGAATTATTGGGACGTTCTTATTAATTAATTATTAATTCTCAATAAGTTATACACGTTAGATTGACGAAAATTAACAGTGATTAGGTTGGTTATAAAAATGGTAAAATTTTGTGGAGGTAAGTATATTATTCCCCATATTTTTAAAATATATAATATAATTTACGTTTAATACATATTTTAACCCAAAATAAGTCATATAACCGGTCAAATATTCAAATTTCATGATATAAATATAAAACAAAAATAATAGATCATCCATAGAATGTAGAGTGTAGACTACTCAAAGGTTCAATTATTTTCATCTCATCCATCGTGAAGAATCATGATGGCCTCTATCTTGCTCATCAAGTTGTCAACATTAACTCTGTTGATCATCTTAAGCCGAGAACAATAAAAACACTGCCAACCACAATGAACTATCACAGTAACATTATAAAATCTCACACATACGCCAAAATTATAAGCAATATGTAGCCATTTTGCAAACAAACACAAATTAAGATAAAGGGAATCTTCACGGATAAAAGTAATACCTACAACTAGTAAGACTACAAAATATAATGGTATGCTCAATAGGCAAGATGGAAAATAAGAAATGAAAATTAAATGGAATGCAAGATTTTAATTTTCGCTAGGTTGTTGTTTGTTAGGCAGTAGAAATGGGTGAACAATTGAAAATTACTTTGAGCTCCATTTCTTAATATTAAGGAGAAACTAAGAATTTTGAGGTTGGAGTGAAACTGTGTTGCACTCCTTTTTCAACACCCCACAATTTTATTGCTCCAAGCAAAAAAAACAAATTATTTCATTTTCCTCAAAACTTTTCAGTACCCTATTTTCTACCTACCTATTTTTAGTTGAACCAAGCATACCCTAAGGCAAAGATATCAATTCCTTTGTAGGTGCAAAGATATGAATTCCAAAAGTAAAATTTTCAATTTAAATAATAATATTTACAAAACCCCCCATATTATTCAGGGTCTTATTTACTAATTCCCCAACGTAGTTCTCGTTACCCACTTCAAATAGAAAAGAGAGAGAGAGAGACATCAGAGCACTTACCAGTTTACAAGCATGAATCGACGATAGACAATAACAAAGGCAGAGCAAAGGAGGAAGGAAGAAAGCAGCGCCGCGAATGAAATGGGTATGGTGAAATTTTGTTTTGTTTTTATTAAATGTTTTTTAAATTATAATTTTATTAATATATTTAAATTTTTAAAAATTATAATTTTTTACGAAAATGTCATTTGACCATGTCAGACACAATCATATTCGCATGTCAGAATAGTCAACGTGTTTCAAAAAGTTGACCACATGTCAAAATGTGCCGGTGTTCGACATCTATTTTTTAGGGAAATTGGCGTGTCAATGCTTCCCAGATTTAGGTGAAGTTTTTTGCAATTTGAAGTCATTTTTGGTATAATGAGAGTAGGTATTCTTTTATAAAAAAAAAAATATAAAAGCAAATAATCATAAAAGTAAAAATAATATAAATATGTTTTTTTTTTTTTATATTTGATAAAAGATATACCAAATATTCTGCATCTGTAATAATGAATATTTAAATTCGTACGGGACCTAAGGTTAAGATAAGATCCAGCGTGGATTCGAATGTCACTGCTGACTAGGGGTGTAAATGGGCCAGGCTGGCCCAGCCCAGCCTACGGCCCGACCTACATTAAGCCCAGCCCAGGCTCGGCCTTTCAGAAAAGTAGAGTAGGCTTAGGCTTATAAAAAAGCTTTTTTAATAAATAGGCCATAGGCCAATTTTGTCAAGCCCGGCCTACAGCCTTGTAGGCTGGCCTATTTAATTTATGAAAATAAAATAATAAAATAATATTTATTTTATGTAGCAAAGACACAAAGTACTAAATACCAATATCTCTTACTTTTTGTGCTATTTTATTTTATGAAAGAAAAACTTGTCTAATGTCTCCAAATTTTACATGCTGTTACAGCTTAATACCATGGAGCAATGGGTACCTTGCTGGATTATGATGTTACTGATGAAGATCTTTCAATAATACTCTTCTTTCCCTTGTCTTGATGGTGGTTTAAAGATTTTTAAATGAATGACATTCTCTTGTAGACTTTATTTCAGCATCCAGTAATTGTATTTTTCTTATTTTTCTCATTTCTTTGACTTTATTCCTCTATGATATACATTCTAGAGCTGAGGTATTATGTTGACTCTTTCTTGTTTGTCATCTTTTTCTTATGAGAAGTACTAGTGCATGGGTGAATGAAACTTTCTTTGCTCTATACAATTTATTTTTTTTGCTTAGTATATATAGTGGGAAGCCTACAAGGCCTGTAGGCCATGTCAGACTTTCTTATTTTTGAAAATGGGCCGGGCTTGGCCTACAAATAAAGCCTTTAATAGGCCAGTAGGCCAGATAGGCTAGATTTTTTTTTTACGTAGGCTTGGGCCAGGATGGCCAAAGCCCAGCCCAGCCCAGCCTATTTACACCCCTACTGCTGACTATGTCTGATTCTCATGTATTGTTCAGTTCTCTCTCATTTTTTTAGGACATCAGTTCTCTTTTACTTTCTCTCTGAATATGATGAATTGTTTCATTTCGATAGCGTTTTTTTTTTTTTTAAGAAGCTTCACATTTTAATTACATGTCACTAGTGCTGTCTGGATTATGATTATGATTATTCAGATTTTGATGACAGGTACTTGGGAACGTTGTAATTTAACAACTTCGTAATTTATTAAGATTGATTTTATAATAAACAATTATAATTCCTTTTTTTTTTTTAAAAAATCATCCCTTATTTTAGATGAATTGAAAGTTTTCATGAGACAACGTAATAGACACAAATATATTAAGCACGTAAAACTCTAATTATACCTTATTTAGAGTGTATGTGTCTATTTCGATTTACATAATTTTATCATGTGAATGAGTAAAAATGATCAATTCATCATTCCTCGAGCCACCGGCAACCTTTAATCTTGAGATTTTTTTGGCCCATTCACAAACCCCTTAACACATATTCTTCTTCAATCTTATTGGTCTTACATCATTATTTGTGCTCGAGTTAAATGTTTCACGGATTTGTTCTTGATCACGACGCAAGGTTGATGTGTACTTTTTTTTTTTTTTTTTTAAATTGATCCTAATTACCTCATTGAGGCAAATCAGAACTCCTGGTATCTTTACGGGTTCGACTTTTTGAGCCGCCTATGAGACTAATCCAGAGTTCGGGTGCGAGTCCAAGGATTACGGCACTTATGCCCCTCCCCAGATGATGTTGGTGGCATTCGAATCGAGATTCTCTCCCACCACTCAGTCCCCCCATACTACCTACTAAGCCACCACACTGGGGTTGTTGATCTGTACGTTATTGAAAGTTATTTCACACATAAATTTAATATTTATGATTAAATTACGTATCTATATTGTTAACTCATTTTATTTGAGTGTTAATTAATCCTGAAATGCAATTAATGAAAAAACACAAAATTATAAAAATGCTATTAAAATTTAAAAAAGCCTAAAAGATATATAATAAAATAAAAAGGCACATGCACATCATCTTTCATCATTCGGACACACAGTATATCTGTTAAATAGGCATACAGACAAAGAACTATAGTGAATCAAAATAAAAATTGCGAAGGATTAAAAAATATTTTCTCTTATAGTTAATAAAATTGTGAGATATGTAATGAAAATATGTTCCTTTTCTCTTTCTTCATGTAAATTGTGAGTTTTCTTTAATAACGAGTTATCGTTTAAAAATACTAATATATCTAAATAAATGAGAGATTAAAATAAAAGTAACAAAATTAAATATAATGGTCCATCGTAAGCATTATTAATATAATGTAAGTCATTGATTTTTATGTTTCAGAAATATTATAGTACCCTAACATCTCTTAAGATGAATCGAGGAATATATACTAAATATCTATTTGATTATAAATATTTAAAATATGTTAAATGAAAATCTCATCTAATAAAATACTTGATAAGCAATAAATAAAGGATAAATAACACTTTTATGCATAAAAAAAATATTTCAATGTTATTTTTTAAAAGTTATAAATTTTATGTTGAATTTTATAAATTAAATAACAAAAGTGGACACTCGTAAACATTATAATTTTTTATTTAATAGCTCTTATTATTAAATTTATAATTTTTAAAACAATACGATATTTTATTTTTAAAAAGGGAATTGTGATAACGTAGACAAAAGCAGAGTTCAATCAAACAGGGATGTGTTATTTATTGTCCGTATTTGTTTCCCTTTCCATAAATACAATCAGCCTCGTGGCACAACAGTACTGCATGCCGACAACGTCTAAAAATCCTCTTAACTCTGAACTCTTATCATGTACAAATACAACACAGTTTCTCTATGGATCAAAAGGGTAGAAAAGTAAATTGATAAATAGCAGGGGGCAATTTAGTCCAAAGAAGGATTTTTACTTTCGCACGTGTATGTGGTGAGCCTGGTGCCCCCTCCGATTTAGTCGCACGCCTGCGTTCCGTTCCTCTTTCTCGTGTCCTGCACATCACACCCGTTTTCGCTCTCTCACACTGTTTCTCAGGTAACAGAAACCCATTTGCACTTTTCATTTTTCGTTTCCAGAACTCTCTCTTTCATTTAACTTCTCCTTTTTCTTTTTTTCTGTTACTTTATTTCAAAGATTCAAAGCTTTCTCGAGAAAATCGATGACAAATAACTGAAATATATACTTTTATTCATTCCTTTTTAGGAACTTTGATTTGTTTTTCCTTTGCTTCACTCTTCCTTGAGATGTTAATCATTTCGAATTCACAGTTCCTATTAAGTGGAATTTCGAATAGAAATGTTAATCTGGGATTCTGATAATTATGTTGGATACTGCTTTTCTTCTCTTGATTTAATTATGTTGGATTTTATTCCTGCTGTTGTTGAAGAGTTGTGCTTTCTATTTGAGAACGGAGTATCTTATGTCTTTTATTAACTGTGTTAATTTTTGTAATATTCAGTTACTTTGCACATTGTAGTCCGCATTTACCATTTGGATACCATCCCCTGGTAAATTTGATTCTTTATAAATGTATTTCTATATTAAGCTTGCCTAGTAAATTGTAGATTTGAACATTGTGATTTGTGGTGGATGCTTTGAAGATTCAGTTGTTTTAAACATTGTAAATTTGTAAACTACAGTCACTATTTTGATTCTGTCTTGTGCGCTGGATTGATTATAGTCTTTTTTACTATTTATCTTGTTTAGTAAATTGTTGATTTGAAAATTATGTTGTTCAGTGCATGCTTTGTAAAATTCAGCTGCAGTTATCATGATTCATGAACATTATAATTACATTTAATATCAAATCGGAAAGATTTTTTCGATATAAAAGATATGCTTTGTTTGTATTTAGCTTGTCTAGTAATTTGTACAGTCATTACAGGGAACAGCCTGCTGGCAAATAACTGCGTTGTTTTGTTTTACAATTGATCTATGGTCGTTAATTATTATTATAGATATTTGCTACCACTTACTATTGCCATTACTAGTTAATTGAAGATTTGAGATTATTCGTTTGAGGTTTCACATTTCTTTGATTAACTTGGGTAAGGACTCTAATTCTTATTTTTTAATTTCTATTTTTGTCACTCATTTGTGAGATAGGAATACGCATGAAGGTATAGTTTGGGTTTCAGGGTAATTTCTATATAATTGAGAATTCATATCAAATGTCAAAGAGAAACCACCCACTAGTTTGCAAATTAGGGACATGAGGAAGCTGCCCTCGATAAGAAGAAGATAAACTATTGTCATTGAAAAGGCTCTTATTGATATATTTAGTGATGATTCTGTAGGTTAGTCTTTGCACCTGAAACTTACCCGTTGCAACATTCTATTATCTTCTGCGGACATTTGTGGGTACAATTAACACCATGAACCTTCATTTTTCCATAAGAAGCTAATGGGCTTATCCATCGTCTGAATTTGATGTGCACATATGCAAAAATTTAGATTGTTCTCTTGATACTGTTTTGGTCAGACCCATTTCTGGAATTGATGCTATTTTAAATAGAAAACCCTAACTTTTTTTTTCAGTGCTCTATTGCCACCTTTCATTATTAGCTGGTGTCATCCACTAGTGACAATTGTAACAACCATTCTTCTGTACATTTTTCCTTCTTGATGCTATAGTTCTTTACAACTCTTAGGTCAGGTGAGTGGTAGATTTTCGTGCAGGATGGATCAGAAATATCAAATATCATTATCTTATGGAAATGGCAGGAAGGATACAGCCATGTTAGGATAAAGATGGGCAAAAGATTTATTCTGCAATTCCAATTCCTTACTAAACAAGGACCCATTATAATATGAACATGAGGAACACAGAGAAAAATAAACAGCAAGGAAAAGCTGATTGTTGTAATGTCGTATGTATGGTGTTTATGATATTGATTGTGCAATATTTAGCTTAGAGTCATCCTTATTCAGGTTTTTAAATCAAAATTGATGATCCTCTGGGTAGAGTTCAGCTTAGAATCGTTGTTTGAGTAGCCTTTCTACGCAAATTTTGAGAAAAATGTTTCCAGTTTGAGATTCCCTTATATTGTTATTTTGAGACTTAGCTGAGAATGGAGTTGAACTTTGTGCGATTTTTTAACAATAAATAGGGCTTTCAAAATCTTTGATATGTTACTTCTGTCCTGTGTATTTTCTTTATATTGATAGTGTCGATGTTTTCATTAAGTTTGAAATTACTGTCCCCTCAATCGAGCTAGGTAGGAGCATATTTTAAGCTCTCTGAAAGGTGTAGAAACCAGCGGATAAGGAAATAGTTTCAACATCTTGGATTGCCTGTGACTGTAATTCTTAATAAAGCCTTGTAACTATTGACTATTGTTTTTAGTCTTGGACTATAACAATTGCTTTAGTGTTTAGATGTGCTGGTGTGGTGCCTCTTGTGCTTAGTTTTTACACAAGAAAAACAGTTTGTTGCATATTTCTGAACTGGAGTAACTGTCCTTTGTAACATTTTTGTAGGATTTTGTGATCTGAGCTTAAAGATGGAGCTGAGTAGCATCAAAGATGCATTTGACCGTGTGGCTAAGAAGCAAAAGTTATCCTCTTCGAAGTCTCAAGAAATTGTTGACCAGGTGGGGCGTGAAATTGAGCAGGCACTGGCGACAATTCAGTCACCACATGACCCCTTAAAACCTGTTGACGAGAAATCCATTATTACAGAACTTAAGTTCAAGCTTAATGCTATTGGGGCACTTCAACAGTTAGAAGGATCACATAAGGAATTGAATATAAGTCTTACCAAATATCAAAAACTCCCTGAGAAGGTGTTAAACCCTGACATATCAAAGGCATACAGAAATGTGGACTTTGATACTCATATTGTCAACCAGATCATTGCAAGCCACTTTTACCATCAAGGCTTATTTGATATTGGAGATAGCATCATAAATGAGGCTGGAGAACCTGATGCAACTGCACTGAGATCTCAATTCTTGGAAATGCATCAGATTATTGAAGCTATGAGGAATAAAAACCTTCAGCCTGCTCTCACATGGGTCTCTGCCAATCGTGAGAAACTTGTCCAGATTGGTTCCAATCTTGAACTTAAGATTCACACGCTGCAGTTTGTAGAGATCGTGCAAAATGGAACCCGAGCTGATGCCTTAAAATATGCCCGAACTTATCTTACTCCTTTTGCTTCCCTCAACAAGGATGAGTTCCAAAAGCTTATGGGTTGCCTCTTGTATGCAGGAAGGCTTGAGAGCTCCCCTTATTCTGAGTTGATGTCCCCTGTTCATTGGGAGATGACAACTGAAGAACTGGCACGGCAGTTCTGCACTCTCTTGGGGCAGTCCTACGAGAGTCCACTGAGCGTGGCAGTTGCAGCTGGAGTTGAGGGGTTGCCTACTTTGTTAAAGCTGGCAAATGTAATGGCAGCGAAGAAGCAGGAGTGGCAGGAAATGAAACAGTTGCCAGTGCCTGTAGAATTAGGTAAGGAATTTCAGTTCCATTCGATTTTTGTTTGCCCTGTGAGTAGGGATCAAGGAAGTGAAGAGAATCCTCCAATGCTGCTGCCATGTTTACATGTCCTTTGCAAGCAATCAATTATAAAGCTATCAAAAAACAGCACGCGGACATTCAAGTGTCCATATTGTCCCACGGAGGCCACCGTTGCACACTGCAGACAGCTGTATTTCTGATTGTTCATTTCTCTCTCTCTCACATACATCGCATTGGTGCAATATAGCTTTTACAGCTTTCTTGATGTGTATAAATCTTCTAAATTCCCTTTTACATTTGATAAGACCAATGAGTGAATAACAAATTGAAAGAACCTGTATACAACCTGGAGCTCTGATATCATCCCCCCCTCCCCTCCTCTTTCCTCTTCTCCTCCCCATTTACTTGGATTGTCCAATTTTACCTTAAGTTCTTGCTTTCCTAAGTCTGAACAATTTTACAGGTGCTTCCATGATCTCACTGCTTAAAACTTGTATGGCGTACATCTATGTACAATTATGATTGCACTAGATAAATAGTATTGTTCTGCTTATATTCACCGATGGTTTCAGATGATTGGGTTTTACTCTATACTTTGATTGTTATTGCAAGAAAGATTAAGAGATGCTAATTGGTTAATGGCTATGGTTTTTATGCCATCTAGAGCAGTCAGAAAAAGTAGCAGTGGTTTTTTAAGTTTGTATCAGCTCTCGCTGAGCAAGAACTTTTCTGCTTGAAAAGGAACCTAGATCGATATGTCCTTACCATTTTGCGGGTTAATATCTTATTCAATACTTAAATAATCATCAAATTTTAGTAGTGCTACATACATAATTGCACATCAGTTGCGGGTCACACCATTCATGGATAATGTTCTGATGTTTCTTAACCTTAATTTTTGTTTTTTAGACTAAAACAGAATTACAAAAGGGTTTGTGTACACCAACCGGTATTCGTAGGTTCCTTTGCTTACATAACAGATTCCTTATGTAATCTACAAAATAGATGTTTTATAGTTCAAGAACAGCAAGTAAACCGGGAGCAAATGTGCGGGATTCAAACTAGATGGCAGAACTTTCGGCATTAGACAGTAGTGCGCTCTTTTGCATGCATAATAATGCGGAAAGGCTTGACCTTCCTTAACAGGGCAGCAACGAGCTCTAGATTTATGAATAGATTGCAGATGTATACGATCCCGACTACGAAAAAATATTTTGTTTTCATGATAAACATAGTTAAACAAACTTAAATGGTCAAATCAAAAACTGCACAGCAAGCAGTTTCTTTTGGACGGGATCGAGATCCCCCAATTCCCAATTGTTGATGATGGTTCAAGATTGAAAACAGGACCAAACTCCTGTAAAAGGCGAGAGTAAATGTTGGATTTGTTCATCTGTTAACCGTGGGTTATCAAGTTTCAATTTGAACCAAAATCATATGACGAGAGAAAAAAAGAAGGAAAGAAAACATATCAACTCAAATATTTATTTCGGCCAAATTAATAAACCTACTACCTCAATTTTATTTTCCAGCTAGTTTTGTAAAAGAAAAGCAAAAATACAAATAACCAATTTGAACTTTGAAGTCCCAAGTAATTATGGTGTTGTGTCAAAAACCAATAATCCTCTTGAGTCCAGGAAACAAAACAGAAGGAGAAGGAGGAGGAGGAGAATTGGGAGGTGGGTTCCCCTGTCGTAGATAATCCTCCACCAATTCCTTGGTAGACCTTGCGGACAAAGGATGAAAATGGGAACCCCACTCTGCAACAAACCCTTTCACCAAAACCCATTTCTCTTCTTCATCCATCTTGCTCCATTTTTGTTTAACCTCGTCTTCTTTGAGGCCCAGGTACTCGCTGAGTACTCCGAAGAGGATCTTTCTGCTCTTCCTCATGGCTTCCTCTGCTTGCACCAAATGGGTGTTGATTCTTGTGGCCTTTGCCGCAAACTCTGATGCCAGTGCTGCGTCGCTGATGCCATTGCCGCCGGTGCATGAGATTCGGGTCTTGAGCTTCTGGGTGTAAAGAGTAGCGGGCGAGTTCGAAAAGAGCGTGGGAATTACCTGAATCTTCATAGCCATTTCAGAGGTCTTGGATTGATTGAGATTTTTGTTTTGGATTTTATATTTTGAGTAATTAAGTTACTTATTCTTAAAGCTATTTTTTACTCTTCTAAATTTATTTAAAAGAAAAAAAAATTAATTTATTTATGTTCAGTCTATTTTATTTTTAAATTGATAAAATTTGCATTTCGTTAGTTTTCTTGTATCTCACTTTAATTTAAAAATAATAATAATTAACTCATAAATAATCTTAAAAATTAATTACATATTTAAGCATGACACTTTTATTTATAAGAAAAGTGTTTATCCTTTTAAATAATACAATTTATATCTTTTTACTCTCACAAAAAAGTGGGATTCACATCTTCATTTTTTTTATCAACTCTTTCTTCCTTTATCTATCTCTTAAAATGACACAACTTTACATCATGTAAAATAAGACGTACTTTTTCCTTTATTTATACCACTCAAACTACCTATTGGTTTAATTTAAAATTAATAATATTTGATTTTTTTTCTCTTTTTCAACTGTTTTTAAATTAATTGATAAGCCTATAATTTCCTCTGAATTGACTTTCTCCTCTTGGATTATACATAATCACATAATTGATGGCTACGCTTTCACAAAGTTATTTAGCTACAAAATAATTTGATTTTGATTTTGTTAGTGTGATAAAATTGTTATGTTTTTTTAATGAAATAATTAAGGATAAAAAGTTAAACACGTTATTAATGGTGGGTAACAAAGAAGATCAGTTCCTGATTCCTCCTCCAAGTTCCAATAGTTCATAAAGATAAACATGAGTGCGATCACTGTTACAGCTACGAGCAGTGTCACTTGCACCATTTCTCTTTCTATCTCAACATTACAATCATCTTTTCCTTCTTCGCTACGCTTTCGCTGCGCATTTCCACTCCTCTCTCGTCGTTCTGCTCTCTGCTTCTCCGGTACCTCCTTAGTTCCCTAACCTTGCCTCTATTTTCTATCATTTTCCGGTTCAATTCGAGTGTCTTCTAATGCCTTTGTGTTTTCTTTGTCTTTGGAGTTTTGTATGCGCCACACGATCTCTCGCTTTTCGTTTTGCTTTTCTTCAAATGGCCACGCAGATTTTGGTTTACGTAGAGCTTTTTTTGTGTGTGTGGGAAGCACCTTTAGGTTACATTTGTCATAGGATAGAAGATCTACCGAAGCATCATTCAAAGAATTAGGAAAACGAATTTTGAATAATTGCAATTAATTAGTTTGCTTAAAGTGTAACTATCTAATGATAATTGTAACACTGTATTTTGATCAAGAGTTCTAATAATAGTTCTTATTTTTAAGTGTGCTTCCCTGTGCATAACTCTTTATTTAGCGAGTAATTAGTTCAATTACTTATGATAACCATTTATTTCTACTGTTGCTATGATTTGGGTTCTCACTAGAATTCTGATGCTATATTACTTAATTTTCTGTTCTGTCATGTTCTGCTGCATGAATGTTTACCAGGTTTGTCAGAGAGTATGGATGGTGGTGCTGGTCCGAGTTTGTTTCCGTTGCATCGTTGCAAAACCATTCACCTGGTTGGTATTGAAATTGAACTCACTTTTAAGATCAACACACTGTATCCGGTGTGGACTTGAAGCTGTTATGTATTTTATTACAACGACATTCAAGATTGCCTTCTTTCTTGGTTCTTTCCATGCAAATCAAGGCATTGCCAACTTATAAACCATACGTTCAGGTCAGGCATGGACAGGGGATCCACAATGTAGAGGGAGATAAGAACTACAATGCATACTTGAATCCTGAATATTTTGATGCACATCTTACTCCATTAGGCTGGCAACAGGTAAACCACTGCAGCTTATTGTGTGAAACATGTTCAGAAGGGAAAAGCTTGCATGAGTCATGCAGTTTAGAGATGGAAAAATAAATTTAGTTTTTTGAGCGTGTGTTTGCTGCTAACAGGTTGACAATTTGCGTAAACATGTTCATGCATCTGGGCTTATGAAGAGGATTGATCTAGTCATAGCATCTCCTTTATTGAGGTACCAACACCTGTGTGCAGCATTATTGACTCAAATGCTTTATATGGATTTAGAAACCGTGTGTCTCTCTAATTCTTGAAAGAGTACCTAATTCTAAATTCATGTTAATTTTTTTTGGTGAAGATCAGGAAATTAAATATATATTTTTTTTCCGCTTATATGAATTTCAAATATCAAGTGGACTTGGCATAGTTTTCCTTTCTTCCACTTTGTGATTGGTTTAACATTGTGCTATTTTGCAATGGCTGCTAAAGGTACTCTGTTTAATTTTGTTGTAACAAAAAAATAATTATTGCATTCATTCTCAACCATGTTACTTTTTTATAGGTTTATGTAATTATATCTTTATGGTTTGGCTTGTACAAGCAACATGATTAGCTTTTCTCGATTGATGTGTGATTAGCTAGGAGGCAACATTGATGAGAAATCTCTAATTTGATGGTTTGAGCATTGGTGTAACTTATTGTGTAAATAAAAAAATGTACAGCAGGTTCATAGATCCGGTATAGTATCTATTCCAGATAGATATTATCGCTGAAAGATATAATTAATGGGATTTTTTTTCTTCTTTTTTTGCAATTCAATTCAATAGAGCATTCTCTGTGTGTTAATCAGATGGTATATTAATGTTATCTTCCATCTATGGACCCAGTGGTCGCTAAAAGTTTCTCCCTCCCTGCCATGATTAATGGAGGGAATGTGAGTTTCTTTAGTATTAAATCAAAATTATATGTGCATTGGAAATTATTTGGATTAACGATGCTTCATTTATGCATGTCCATGTAATAACCTGACTTGTTCCTGTTATGTAGTGGGTTCATGAATGAAGGTGCATTAGTTGGAAAAAGCTAGGTTGGGACATCCATATTTGGGTTTTGCAAGTTATCCATATCTGGGTTTATGTGGTTATATTTGGGCTCATGACTGAATGTTGTTTTTATGATACCACCATAGTGAGCTGGGAGATATTTGGTTGAAATGATTGTGTATGGTACAACATATGATTTTAGGACTCTACAAACAGCTGCTGGGGTGTTTGGAGGTGAGGACTACACAGATAGAATGGATGTGCTGCCTCTTATGGTGGCAAATGCTGGAAACAGCAATCGTGCTGCAATTTCAAGTGTGAATTGCCCACCAATTGTTGCTGTTGAATTTTGTCGAGAACATTTGGTATGTCAATTTATAATCTGAGCATCTTTTTTACCCATTGGCACGAGACATTCTTCTAGCAGAGTTTACACCATATTGCTCCATGTACTTGTCTACTAGAGAAAAAGTCCTATCTCCCTCTCTGCGCAGACAAGTCTTATCTTGGTAACAAAAATCTTTTAGCCATCAAGAAAATGCTTGCGAATCAATCACAAGATGGATATCTTACACTTCATAGGGGGTAGGAAGAATTTAGAATGTTATTACTTCACAATCAATAGACTTTTTCCTGCAATTCATGTTGTATGCTGAGATTGAAGGATGGAACAAGAGAAGTGCCTTTTAATTCAGGCTTGTTTGCCAATATGACTTAGACTGATTTCCTTTTTTTTCCCTGATGATTCTTGCTTAAATATCGGGTTATGAGTGGTTTTGGAAAATCATTAGGGTGTGATTATTCAATTGAAATACTCCAGACAATGCCATAGGATGTTGAACTTCAGGTAGTGTTTGGTTGAAGGTTTATTTTGGGATTGATGGGAAAGTGTAAGTGGATATTGGAAAATACCACGTTTGGTTCAGGTTTTTTCAAAAAATACCAGGCAAATAGGATAGATGGGAAAATGATTTTTGTGTTGATTTTTGGATAAAATTCACTGTTACAGAATACCACTTGAGATGTGGTATTTTGAGATAACTGGGGAAGTGAAAAAACAGGTGCAAAGTTTCTCCCGAACATAGATTTTGCATATTTAAATAAATTTCTCTGGTAATATTTGGGTCAACCAAACAACTTTTTTTACATTTTCCTACCAAACTCACTTTCCAACCATTTCTCTATCAATTACATTTCCCTAGTAAAAAAATATTTCTCCCGAACCAAACACTACAAAGACAGCCAATAACCTTGAGGCGGGTTTCATATGTGTGTTTGTGTGTATCTAATCTAATACTATTATATTAAACAAGGTTTCTGCCCTATGGGTCCCATGTCATGTGTTTTCATTAAAGTAATTTTTTTCCCTCCAAAAAGTTAGCTTCTTTCATAAACTAGACCACAATTAATCTACCTCTTCATACAGCTGGTCCACAATTTAGACATTTGATTGCAAACATGCCTTCAATGGTATCTGCCTTTAATGTGTAAATTTACAGAAGTCCCATTTATTTTCAATTTTAAACTTGAATGTCAAATCGTTGATTCATATCATTGCTTGTCTTATCTTCTTATCCTCCATTGTGCTATAATACCCTCCCCAAAAAAGAGAACAATCTCTAATTTTATAGCAACATCAACATTAACAACACATTTATCCCCAACTAGTTGGGGTTGGTGGTTGAGGAACCCAAAATGAAAGGTACGAAAATAATCTCTAATTTTATAGCAATAATAAATTTTAAAATTTTATTTTGTAACTCCATTTGAGTCACGGCTGTTATTTTAGTTAGAGAATATGGTATTAAAGGCATGTCAATACATAATGGAAAAGCTTGACAAACATTAGCTTAAATTGCAGAAGTTGTAGTTAGTGAGCATTTACACAAGTTGTATAAAATGATGTTGATTTATATTTTATTTCCAACAAAGACTTGAATGATAAAAATATGCAATATGATGTTTCGTATTTATTGAATGTGGCTCTTCAGAATAAACTTCAATATTTTTCTATAAAAAATTAAGTTTGAGATTAACAGCATCATGGACCACAACTAAAATGATTATAATATAATGGTCTGAACAGCAATTATTAAGCAGTGACCAGCAAATTTTAATGGTCATTGAATAGTTTATGTATAAAAACTTGGAACATGAAATCGCAAATTAAGGGCATGTTTGAATACTGTTTCTAAAAACAGTTTTCTGGTTTTCAGAACAAAAATACAAAAAAATATGTTTGATAAAGCCTGTTTTGTAAAAAAAAAATTGAAAATTGTAACTGTTTTTTATTTTTAGAATCAAATTTAGAGAATATATCTAAGTTGTTTTTGTTTTGTATTTTGACTTTTAACTTTCAAAACAAAAAAATTATTGAAAACACCTATTTCATTAACTATTATACAAAACAGTTTTAAGAACAAAAAAAATAGAATACAATCAAACAGACCCTAAATTTAAATTTGGGAAGCATATAAATTACTAATAGAAGAGAAAGGTTGCTTCTTCATTTTCCTTTTCCCTACTAATATATTGTCAGAAGTTGTCTTTTATGTTCAAAGATAATTTTAGCACATTTACGTAATTTCTCTTGCTGTTTTCTCATGCAGGGAATTCATCCCTGTGACAAAAGAAGAAGCATCAGTGAATATCAATTTCTATTTCCTGCAATTGATTTTTCACTGGCAAGTACCTAGATTTTATAACTTTATGCACCCTTTTTGTTTTGTGATTTCGTAGGAGATGGCTGACACTTTTCTTTAGCTGTACAAAAATTGGGCAAATTGCAATTTGTTCTCTTTGGGTTTATGCTAACTATCTTTTTATTTTCCTTTCAGATAGATGGTGATGAGGATATTTTGTGGAAGGCCAATGTTCGGGAGACAAAGGAAGAACTTGCAGCTAGAGGGCTCAAGTTCATGAACTGGTATGATTTTGTTGCTGGAAAATTTTATTATTGATACTGTCAATGATTTATATAAAGAGTTATGCATAGTAGATGTGATGACTCCGTGCATTTCGTTCGTGAAAGCTAAGTTCATCTTATCTTCCTATGATGAACAGCCATACATTGTAGAACTATATTAATTTGGTAAAATATTAATGTTTAATTTTGCTAACCCAATTGGACTTATATGTTATACCAAGTTAATATAGTCTTGCTTTCTATGGCTCTGTGTAATAGAAAGATAAGATTAACTTGGCCTTCCTGAAATTTATGGAGTTATCATGTCCAGCATTTTGTAAAAGTTACTAGATACAGTTGAATAATGTGTAAAATTTAATTGAAGCTTCTTTATGGCTAAAAATAACTTGTGTTGTGTCTCAATTTGTGAGAAGTAAATAGATAACCGCTTGCTGATTGCTCTTTAATGATTATTACAATTGGTATATTAGTATTTGGTATATTAATTTAGAAATCTAGAGATTATCAGTAGTTAAAGATTTATGTAATTTTTTCTTAAAAAAAAAAATTCTCATTTTTTTCTTCTTTTTTTTGCAACTTTGCATTACTTTTATGTAAGTAACTGTAAATTGCCATCAAATGTGGTATCATTCATTTCTGAAGCTTTTTTGATTTTTCACTTCATCACAGGTTGTGGACACGGAAAGAGAAGGAGATAGCAATAGTGACGCATAGAGCATTTTTGTTTCATACTCTAAGTGGATTTGGAAATGATAACCGCTCCTTGGGGAAGAAGGAAATATCCAAGCAGTGAGCTCGCCAATATCTCACATGTAGTTATTTGTGATTCACATCTTTTTGAGCTAACAGAGTTGAATATGCATTGTTCTTATGATTTTGAAAATAGCATGTTTTGTTCGTGGAATACATAATTTAATTTATTTCTCATCTGTTTTGTTTGCACTAGTTTAAAAGAAAAGTATTATTCCCTTCGTTTAAACGTAGGATTAAATTCTTGTACTGGCGCTGTGATATGTTCATCAGTCTTTATATTGTAGGAAATAATTGACTAGTTTCATGTATCCTTATTCCTTGCAGCTTTGCTAACTGTGAGCTTCGCTCCGTGGTCATCGCTGATAGTTGAGTTTATGAATACAACCTAACAAATTAAGAGCCTTCTTTCATCTCCATCAGGATTTTTATGATCTATCATTTATTCTTATCCCTGTAGTGTGACAGGATTGGATGCATCAACCACCGATTAATTATCCAGGCAAGTTACATTCAGAGATGGACCTCTTGTGATGTTTCTGATGAGAACGCTGAGAAGAAGGGTTTTGTTAGATATTTTCATCATGACTCTCCGGAAATCTAACATGATTATTTCAAATTGCTATAATCATTGTTCACAGGAAATCTTTTATTTCGAACATTTGCCAAAGAAAGTACCCCCTGTGGTGTGGGAAATCTCAGATGCCTGGATGGTAACCATACATGAACCTCAGTTATTACAATTTTTATTGACATGATATTGATGTTTATTTTTTAATTAGAAACATTTTACAATGATAGTGGACTACATTTAAACACAAATTGGAATATATTACTCTGTAAGTCGCTTAATGAAAAGTAGTAGGTGGAACCTCATCAAATATGCTATTTATTTCTGCGGATAAAAAAATGTATAATCTTAAAGAGCAACGCTGAACATTCTCTAGCAATTGAGTTCTTGAAAAAAGAAGGCTCCCCTTCTACATCTTGATCTTGATTTTTTTCATGTTTCATAAATAATGTTTAATTATGTCATTAAATTATTACAATTCTTATCTGCAGAAATTATTTCCGAATAACTTGTCAAGCCACATGCCCTTTTGAGAAATGATGCCCCGAGGATGAAACACACTGAATTTGCTAAATGGATAAGATATACAAATAACACACATCGAAGGCTTCAGCCATAACCAGCTAGAAAATCTTAGCTTCAGATGGTCCTCAGAACATCATAGTACGACACAGGCTTCTTCTTTGACTCACCGCAGAGTTTCTGAATAAATTAGGTTGAACATTTACCAAAAAAGAAACTATGCGTGGGGATGCATGGATAGACAAAATGATTACTATAGTACACAGAAACTGTGGGGATGCATGGACAGAACTTTATATATTTATGCATGACAGTATGCGTACCTCTACCGCAGATGCTATGCGCAGAATAGTAGCTTCCGCCCATGGTCGACCTATTAGTTGCAAACCTATTGGAAGTCCTTCTTTATCGTAGCCGACCTATACATGAAACATTTGATTAACCGAACAAACAGAATATGATATCGCAATTAGCAATAATTATGGTCACTTAATTCAAAGAACTCTTCAGACCAAAATAATAAATACTATACTCTTCTTGAGTGATTCATTGCACTCTCACTCACCGGGACAGAAATGGCAGGGAGTCCTAGAAGATTTGCCGCAACAATGAATCGCATAAGGTAACCTGAGCAACAATCATCAAGTTAACATACATGGGATGAAGCAAGTTATTGTATATTAGGTAGGCAGTGAGTTGTCGTAATCATGGCATTTTATTTAAGGTCTGCCATGAATTATTATGTTCTTACTTCTAAGGTAAAATGAGTCAAGATACCAGTCTCATAATACACATCCTGTATTCAAAAAAAATAATACACATCCAATACGAAAATTTCCAAGATGTGTTGTGCTAAGGATCGTTTGAATGGAATACCACACAATGTTCAGTATAAATAATTGCCACCAAAATTATGACACTTTAAAATTCTGTCAGTCATGACAAAAAGACTCTTTATTCAGAATCTTACGGCTATATTGTAGGGACAAACTTTTTTTTTTTTGGTACATAGGGACAAACTTTTACTTGGCTCTTTTGTTGACCTGAAGTCTAGAGACAATTAAGTAATATCATAGACAAGTTCGCTTGTCTCGTGATGACAAACCTTATAGGTTATACTCGTCTGTTATATTATCAGTGCACGAGTAGTACTAATAGGTGATCTCATACGTTATGTTAACAACAATGCTGCATTGCAAAATATTATGGAAGAAAAATATCCTGAAGCTGCAACTTAAAGGTGAAGCAAATCACCAGTAGTCGACATATCCGTTTCACCACTTTGAAGAGCACTAGGAGATATTCTGGGTGCTGTCATGCTGTTACAAACAAAAGCAGCTCAGCTGGCAGTCAATTATTCTAGCAGCAACTACAAAACCTTCCAAAATAAGATGTGGTTGAATTTTGTAAATATATGTTTCCCTATCAATGACACTTGTTTTTCAGTCCCACCTTCCCCAAAACTATCCTACAAAAGCAGCTGCTATCAGGAACTAACCAAAGACAAATCATATGATATGATAAGATCAGTTTCTCTTTTCATCTTTTTCTTTCTTGGCTAGATGATGCATGAGCAAATTAGATACTAATGCTATACTGATAATATGGTTGTCTTAATACCAATGAACTATTAACAAATGCAAGAAAAATATAAATTATTATCCAGAGTGGTAAAACTAATTTCCTATCCTATCAAAGAATTATAAAAGAAATTTTGCACAGTAAAGGGTCCATTACCCTGAGGTGTATTTCTACCACAAATATTCATTATACATACATACGTACCCGGTTGTTGGAGTCACTATAACATCCACTTTCTTGAAAATTTCCATGTGGTAATGCATAATCCTTCGTCTGAAACATATAAAATAAACTTTAAAAGCTACATACACAACTACGAAAAAAATAAAAGCTACAAACACTATTTTTTTGTACGGTTTACATTAGGTAATCTATGGTAGTAATTATTTCTATAAATTGAACCATATGATTTTCAGAGCACATCAGTAAAAGAAGTTTAAATAAAAGGGACGAAAGTTTGGTATATTTACTATAAACTCTCGTCTCACCTAATACATTGGGCTGCAACATAATCTGCTGCTGTAAACGACCGAAAAAGTGCCAAACTTGTACGAGTATCATATGTCAATTTTACACCTCTCCTGTGAAAGAAAAGTAGAGGAAACCACCATAAATTTCTCATATAAATGGTCAGACAAAGATAGCCAATGTCTAATATTAACCACTTTTATTAACAGATGAGAAGGATGCCTTTTACCAAATAACCTGTATTGCCTCTTTGCAATTAGACTACAAAATGGAATTACCAGCATTAAGTTTCGATATACTCAAACATACCCCTCTTCACAATGAGGATTCAGTGAACGTAAGCATTCAGAGCCAATGGAAACAAGATGGGCAGTTCGCATCTCATGAAGCTCCGGAATAACAATTTCGATCATCTTCAATTATAAGAGAAATGTTTACGACTTAGCATTGTTTGAATCTATCATGCTAAACTAGAAATTAGGTGTAAAACAATCATTGAAGTACATGATAACATGATGAACTTACTTCACAACCATGCGTCTTGGATAGCAGATTAAGAGCATCCTCACATTTATCAGAGACTTCAGTTGAATGCACATCATTAAACCACTTCACAAGAATAAATATATTATTTAAGAAAGAGCATATCAGATTAGTCTGCACATAAAGTCTTTCATGAAAGGATAGGTGATTACCGGGGTGTACTTTCCTATTCTTAATGATCCCAAAGCATTTGAATCTTCATCAAATGACAGAGTCGGCAAACAAGGTGGTGACTACAAGGGAAATATAAACATCATGCTCACTAAAGAAGAATAGAGAAGTTTTGCATAGAGAATAGAGTATAGAATAATAAGAGTTGGTTTAGTAGTTTGTCTTTGTCATATACTCATCCATAGCATTGTATTAGATGTTTAAAAGAGCCTCTGATTTGTAAATAGTAGCAGGACAAAGGGTTGTGTATGTACTACACCCTAATCATTGACGTCTTTTTCTGTCTTCAATTGTAAGCCTTGATAAATTGCCAAATATCAGAGGGTAACCTATTCTC